CTTCAGCATTGGCTGTGATTCTAGACATAACGAGTTGCCTGTTGCGCTGTTTGCGTTTTACGCCACGAAACTGATATGAGGACGTCCGTGAGTCATCACTGTTCTCGCGCTCGCCGAGTTGCTGTTTAGTATTGTAACCGTGGAAAGTTACGTTCCGTCCTCGTTGATTTGTACCAGGTTTCACGTCGTCACCTACTGTGACAGAGAGCACGCTAGAATCGCTAGCACCTTGCGCAATCTCTGCGTAGCTAGCGTGATGCGATGTAACAGACTGAAGAACAGCAGGTCCTTGTGACATAATATTTGATGATTTCTCATTCAGTACTTGCGGTACTTTGATTCTAGATTCAGACTGATCTGGGCATTGTAGCGTACTTTGTTTCGTCGAATCCATGGACGACCCCTTGTGTTCTATTTGTACTCACAAATCCTGTATGATATTTTCTAATGATTTTATTTCTTTGTCTTTTCGCTCATTTATAGCGCGGACATCACGTATTTCAGATTTCAGATCCCGAATATCTTCATGAAGATCCTTAGTGATATATTCTATCCCCGAAATCATTTCATTTCTCATGTTGACAATTAATATAAACAAATCAGCAACTGTTTGGTCGTTAAACTTGTTGTTACTATCAGAAATGGGCCCATGAGTAGTATGTGGCTGACCAGTACCGTTGTCTTCACGCACGATTGATTCCGTTCTATACACTTGTTTTGGTGAAGTGTCACAGGATAGTACTGATACGTCGGGATTTTCACACTGCGAGTTGTTTTCCATATCGAGTTTGTCTTTCGTTTTCGTCACCATATATTTAATGTCATTGCTTCCATTGCCACCGTCGATATAGTGGTATAATGAAAATATATCATCCAGGTATTTCTCAATCGCAGACGTATGTCCACCGTTAGTACGTTTAATAAGTGACCCACGGGGCGTATCCGAACTTGTCTCTATTGCCAGATCATAGAGTGATTGCCGGACGTTCGCTAGTTCATCAACACTGCTTTTGTAAATCGATCGCAATCTTTTCTTGAATTTGACTTTGTCACACGATCCGACAGTTTCTCTTATATGATTGAACATACTCTTGTCTATCTGCGTCGATGTCATAGTGTGATCATCAATGCTTATAGAGTCACTCTCCATGATGATAAACCGTACGTATCGTATCCTCTAGAGTGATTGTAATTTGGATTGGTCACTTCAAAGGTAATTTGTGATTATATAAAAGTTAATTTCACAGTGTCATACACATTGTAGCATCGAATTCATGTGCTGATTGCTTTTACTTTCAATGTACGACTAGAAGATAGAGTACATGCACTGTATGATGTTCATGAGTGGTCAGTTTAAATACTATGCACGCGTACGACGGACATGTAAACATACATGTAAGATATACTCATAGACTGTTCTCGATTTGGAGGATAAACACATCATATTAAGATAAATGGCATGATCAAGCTGTAATGACGATTGATCTCTGTAACTACTGACAAAATTGCGAGTTAAATAAGTCAATAATTTGACGATGTTACACAAAATTAATTAGAGCATACCTTGAAGGTGTTCACTTGTTCAGCCTCGTTTTCGTTTGTCATCTGTGGATGGTTGTATGGGGTATCCTTACTATTTCTTGTTTTAGGATCGACCTCAGTTGTCATCTATAGATGGTTGTATGGTGTATACTTCCTGTTTCTTGTTTTAGGATCGACCTCAGTTGTCATCTATAGATGGTTGTATGGTGTATACTTCCTGTTTCTTGTTTTAGGATCGACCTCAGTTGTCATCTATAGATGGTTGTATGGGGGTATCCTTCCTGTTTCCTGTTTTAGGATCGACCTCAGTTGTCATCTATAGATGGTTGTATGGGGGTATCCTTCCTGTTTCCTGTTTTAGGATCGACCTCAGTTGTCATCTATAGATGGTTGTATGGGGTATCCTTCCTGTTTCTTGTTTTAGGATCGACCTCAGTTGTCATCTATAGATGGTTGTATGGGGTATACTTCCTGTTTCTTGTTTTAGGATCGACCTCAGTTGTCATCTACAGATGGTTGTATGGTGTATACTTCCTGTTTCTTGTTTTAGGATCGACCTCAGTTGTCATCTATAGATGGTTGTATGGGGTATACTTCCTGTTTCTTGTTTTAGGATCGACCTCAGTTGTCATCTATAGATGGTTGTATGGGGTATACTTCCTGTTTCTTGTTTTAGGATCGACCTCAGTTGTCATCTATAGATGGTTGTATGGTGTATACTTCCTGTTTCCTGTTTTAGGATCGACCTCAGTTGTCATCTATAGATGGTTGAAGGGGATATACTTCCTGTTTCTTGTTTTAGGATCGACCTCAGTTGTCATCTACAGATGGTTGTATGGGGTATCCTTCCTGTTTCCTGTTTTAGGATCGACCTCAGTTGTCATCTATAGATGGTTGTATGGGAGTATCCTTCCTGTTTCCTGTTTTAGGATCGACCTCAGTTGTCATCTATAGATGGTTGTATGGGGTATACTTCCTGTTTCAGGATCGACCTCAGTTGTCATCTATAGATGGTTGTATGGGGTATCCTTACTATTTCTTGTTTTAGGATCGACCTCAGTTGTCATCTATAGATGGTTGTATGGGGGTATCCTTCCTGTTTTAGGATCGACCTCAGTTGTCATCTATAGATGGTTGTATGAGGGTATCCTTCCGGTTTTCTGTTTTAGGGTCAACCTCAGTTGTCATCTACAGATGGTTGTATGGGGTATCCTTCCTGTTTCTTGTTTTAGGATCGACCTCAGTTGTCATCTATAGATGGTTGTATGGGGGTATCCTTCCTGTTTCCTGTTTTAGGATCGACCTCAGTTGTCATCTTTAGATGGTTGAATGGTGTATACTTCCTGTTTCTTGTTTTAGGATCGACATCAGTTGTCATCTATGGATGGTTGTGTGGGGTATACTTCCTGTTTCTTGTTTTAGGATCGACCTCAGTTGTCATCTATAGATGATTGTATGGGGTATTCTTCCTGTTTCTTGTTTTAGGATCGACCTCAGTTGTCATCTATAGATGGTTGTATGGGGTACACTTCCTGTATCTTGTTTCAGAATCGACCTCAGTTGTCATCTATGGATGGTTGTATGGGGTACACTTCCTGTTTCTTGTTTGAGAATCGACCTCAGTTGTCATCTACAGATTGTTATATGGGGTACACTTCCTGTTTCTTGTTTAAGGATCGACCTTTAGAATCGACCTACAGGATCAACCTAAATTGATTGATTTGTGACCCAATACTCTCTCGTATTTTGTAACTTTATCATATTAAGTATGATTCCCTGAATGATATCGAAATTACACCGAATATGAAATCCTTTCTGACAAATGGACGAGTGAACCATAATACATCATTTCTAAAATATAGAAAAATTATGAAACTATATTATATAAAAAATTTGATATTTTGTATTTAGCAGAATAGAATATGTGTTATATCCAGAACCTTATCATCATTTTGCCCAAAGGCTATAGACAAATATACAAGAGGCCCAGAGGGCCTGTATCACTCACCTAGATCTTCATGACCAACATTACTATATCTATGATATGTTCCTTTAACACATGACCTTGACCTTGACTATGGGTCAAATTCATTTCTTGGACTTCATAAAAGCAAACTTTGTATATTTCAGAAGAAATTGTTTAAAATGTTTTAACACATTTGACCTCAGTGACCTTGAATATGGGTAAAGGTAATTTCTTTTTGCAAACTTTGTTTGGTTTCATCAAAGGAACCTTCCAGCCTTATATAACAATTCTAGGCCTTCCGGTATTTTGGAAGAAGTGGTTTAAAGGTTTTAACACATTTGACCTCAGTGACCTTGAATATTGGTCAAGTTCATTTCTTTTAGCAAACTTTGTAAGAAACAAGTTGCATTTAAAGGTTTTAACACATTTGACCTCAGTGACCTTGAATATGGGTCTGCAAACTTTGACCTTGAGCCTAATATAATGATTCTAGGCTCTCTGGTGTTTTGGAAGAAGTCATTTAAAGGTTTTAACACATTTGACCTCTGTGACCTTGAATATGGGTCAAGGTCATTTGTTTTTGCAAACTTGGTTGGGCTTCATCAAAGGAACATTCCAGCCATATATAATGATTCTAGGCCTTCTGAATTTTTGGAAGAAGTCGTTTAAAGATTTGAACACATTTAACCTCTGTGACCTTGGATATGGGTCAAGATTTTTTTTCTTGCAAACTTTGTTGGGCTTCATCAAAGGAACCTTCCAGCCAAATATGATAACTCTACAACTTTCGGTATTTCAGAAGAAGTTGTTTAAATGAAAACTTGACGGACGCCAGACAGATGGACAGGTGGACGGATGACGGACGACGGACGCCGCGCTATGGCATAAGCTCACTTGGCCCTTTGGGCAAGGTGAGCTAATAAATTACCTCTCGATTCGGCAAAAACTTTCTCTATCAATACTTTTAATTATGTCTTAATATATGTCTATGATATATTTGATTATTTTACACAAAATATATTGAAGATTTGTTTGTTGGTGACTTGTAGTGATAATATAGTCCAGAGATGATGATAACATACAGGACCAAACATTTCTCAGGACCAAACATTTCTCAGGACAGGACCAAACATTTCTCAGGACCAAACATTTCTAATTATTTCTATAAATGTAATTTACTTTATGATCTATCAAGTAGTTAGTACTAACCTAGACAACCTATGATTATTTCATGACATGTGGTGGGGTGCTCAGTGGAACTGCTTATTACTTCAGCTTAATGGCAAACTTTTGAATCTAATGAACGTGCAAGAAAAGGTAAAGTACTGCAGTTAAATGGACATCAGTGGCGAACAACTTTATAACTATCTTTTTACCCTTTTTATCATTTTTTTTAAACAGCCATAAGACTGTTCCTGTTGTGATCAACGCAAAATCTTAAGCAACGATTACTAATGTCCCTGTGTGTTAACATACAACAAATAACAACACATTATTTCACCCCTTTATTGTCTATAACCTGATTTTACAGCAATCTACGTGGGGATCTTCTTTACACATTAGTTTGTTTTTTAGCTATGATTAAAAATCATCTTAGATACTTCATTTCCACTATAGATATACATTTATGGGTTAATAAAACATCACTTATTCACATCTACAGGAGAATAACTTAGTTAATCTTATCAGTAATTTCACTGTTATCATGGAAATAAGAAAAACCAGAGAAATAGTATATAGACTGGATCAGTATGAAAAGCTTCAGGTATAGTATCTTCAAATCAAAATATAGTGAGATAGATATATGCAGCTAGGGACAGCAGTAGAGATAAGGCATACCTAAATTGAGCTAGTGTATTTCAGTACCCTACTAAGTAAAGATCCTCAAAAGTTCTGAACAATTGGATAATATCAAACATTTAAAAGAATAAAAGTGACCGCTTATCAGAAAACATGAATTGTGGAACATGTAAACACAAAACTTGGCTTTTTAATTAGCATGTGATTACCCTATCGAAATATATGGCCCAGACTTCTACTTTTAAATGCTTAAGACAGGCTTAAGTTCAATGAAATATCATTTAATTTTAATAAAATCAAATTTTATTTTTCCTACTGTAATTACATTGTAATTAAGTTTAGAAAAAAAAAAAGTCAAAAAGAGACTTTCATCTGTGATAATTCTTTCACTAACAGCTTTTTGCTATACGTAATGATCAGATGTGTTTGATACACATTTTTAAACACTTCAGTCAAACTTTCCAGAAAATACATTGACTTATTTCTATTCCCACAAGTTTTCTTTGGTAATGAAGATAGCAGCAAAATCGCCATGGTACAAACATCTACAGTGCTATCTTACCGATGCCATGTAGGGAATGCATAGATTTGTTATATTGAATAAAGGTTAATAAAACGCAGGTCATAAATAGTGGTCAGTTATCATCAACTGACTTCTATCAGACCCAGAGAAAGGTAGGAGAGCACCATAAACAACAGCAAATATAAACAATTATTACAGACTATAAAATGTAATGTAGTAGCCATGCACTCCAGATATAGAACAATTCAACACACTTCAGTAGTTGATTCTCTCATTTGTAAATCACAAAAATCCTTAACCTTATTTCAGGAGAAACGTACAGGGTGTCCGCAAAGTGATTCCTACACCTTATCGAGAACTCGTATTCTCCAATGTTCACAAAAATATATATGTCATCTAGGGGTTAACTCAAGGTGCTGACAAGTGTCAAAAAACATTTCATATATATACATAACGTAATATCAGAATCAATGGCATCAGTGAAATGAACTATCTCACCTTTCACATCAAGAGTCACACCATGTAAACCTTCAGTCACACCACGGCATCAAGTCGCACACTGAACAGTCACACACAGCAACAACCACAACCAACTATAATCCTAGCCACATCAAGTCTCACATCTAGTCACACCAAGCCACAGCCAAAACTAACCACACACCCAGCCACAGCCAAAACTAACCACACACATAGCCACAGTCACGCCCAGCCACAGCCAAAACTAACCACACACATAGCCACAGTCACGCCCAGCCACAGCCAAAACTAACCATACACATAGCCACACACTTTATCACACCCTTTTTTTCACACACAAATACAATGAGAACAATAACCCTAGACAAATAAAAATAATGGCACACAAATTATTTACACAGAAGCACACATAAAACATATTCCATCTACAGCATCGATGTTATGAGAGTATAACTGAACAGGGTCATTGCAGCTGTGAAGAAGAAGTTGTCATTATTTTGTCCTTACAACTATCTCCAAACCAGAACACCATATCATGCCTATATTCCAAGTGTTCACACAGCATTGCTGAATCAATAAAGGCTACACTCACTTTTAAAAGTCTGTATGATTCTACTGGTAGTAATCTGTTAGTTTAGGAACATATGATCCAGTTACTCTACAACAACAATTTCTTTCCCTAAGATATCATGAGGCACGTGATATTAACCTTATTTTAATTGGTTCCTTAAAGGGGAATAATCCTTAAACTTTCCAAGTTGGTTATCTGTCCTTTTGTTATCGTTTTATTTTCATAGATGGAAAAAACATTATGTAAATATATGTAATATAGATGTAGTTTCAAATGTACCAATATATTCACTGGTCGCCACAGCATACATTTACAAACCGGTACAGACACAAACAAACTGATGTAGAAATATAAAGCACATTACAATTACATCACGTTAGAAAATATTCAATGTTTCTTTAAACACAGATTTGTGTTGAATTTGATATGGTTCTTATACTGGAATAGTAAGTGGTCCTAAACATGTGACAACATAAACAGACAGCACTGCCAGGTACAACAGAATGTAGAAATGTCCTACTTCATGTACAGAATGATCACTACAACTACAAACATTACAACTGTTCATTCAAGTATCAAAGAAAAAATCTGGATGAAGGCTGACTGTACTTCGGTTTGACAATAAACCTTGATTGCTATTCATGCTGAGAAGTATGATCAATAAAGTAGCACTTAAAATGTATATATATATCTCCACTATGGAAATTAACTCAAGGTCTCAAGCACTTAGAACATCAATAATACAATAAATGGCTGGTCCATATCAACAACAAAAACTCAAACTTTTATTTCTTTTATTAGCCCTTCTACGGTCAACCTCAGACCTATTCATCAATGACAAGTTCTGTTAGCTACAAAGAATAGAAATTATGCTGATAACACCATATTTTATTACATAATTATATTCAGTTCTAAAGAAACATGTTTTTATCTCAACCTTTACAGAAAACTTTGACAAATACAAAAATTTGTTCATAGGTTTGTGTTGACATTCAACAATAGAATTTGTGTAATATTGAATGACTGATTTGAACCCCTTTAGCATAATATCGTGTAAATTAGGCTTCAGAATTATCAAGAAACTAATGATTTTGAAATGTAGGCTTAACAATAACAATCATTATCTTAGGGAGCAACAAACACGTCACAATTATTCATTTCAAATATTTGAATATTTACTACATAATGAAAAATATTCAATTATCGTAGATGCTTCTAAAGCTTGATCAGAGTAGTCTAGCCCCAATGTCATTACACGCTGCAACACATAATCTTCAGCACAAGTTAACATAAACCAATTACCAAATGACTGTTACCTCGTCATCTGAATCAACAAACGTAACTAAGGACTTGTTCATCACCTACATCAACCGTAACTAAGGACTTGTTCATCACCTACATCAACCGTAACTAAGGACTGTTACCACAGTAACTTCATAACAATAACTAAGGACTTGTTCATCACCTACATCAACCGTAACTAAGGACTGTTACTCATCACCTTCATCAACACAACTAAGGACTGTCAGCTTGTCACCTTCATCAACCGTAACTAAGGACTGTCAGCTTGTCACCTTCATCAACAAAACTAAGGACTGTCAGCTTGTCACCTTCATCAACAAAACTAAGGACTGTCAGCTTGTCACCTTCATCAGCAAAACTAAGGACTGTCAGCTTGTCACCTACATCAACAAAACTAAGGACTGTCAGCTTGTCACCTTCTTCAACCGTAACTAAGGACTGTCAGCTTGTCACCTTCATTAAACAAAACTAAGGACTGTCACCTCGTCACCTACATCAACAACTGATGATATCTTTGAATTCGTAAACTGAGTTTTTTTAAATTCATCAAATACATCTTCTTTTGCCCAAGAATAAATCCTAGCAACAACACTCGCACAGTTTACTAAGATTATACCCTAGCAACAACACTCACACAGTTTACTAAGATTATACCCTAGCAACAACACTCGCACAGTTTACTAAGATTATACCCTAGCAACAACACTCGCACAGTTTACTAAGATTATACCCTAGCAACAACACTCGCACAGTTTACTAAGATTATACCCTAGCAACAACACTCGCACAGTTTACTAAGATTATACCCTAGCAACAACACTCGCACAGTTTACTAAGATTATACCCTAGCAACAACACTCGCACAGTTTACTAAGATTATACCCTAGCAACAACACTCGCACAGTTTACTAGGATTATACCCTAGCAACAACACTCGCACAGTTTACTAAGATTATACCCTAGCAACAACACTCGCACAGTTTACTAAGATTATACCCTAGCAACAACACTCGCACAGTTTACTGAGATTATACCCTAGCAACAACACTCGCACAGTTTACTAAGATTATACCCTAGCAACAACACTCGCACAGTTTACTGAGATTATACCCTAGCAACAACACTCGCACAGTTTACTAAGATTATACCCTAGCAACAACACACACAGTTTACTAAGATTATACCCTAGCAACAACACTTGCACAGTTTACTAAGATTATACCCTAGCAACAACACTCGTACAGTTTACTAAGATTATACCCTAGCAACAACACACAGTTTACTTAGAATGTATCCCAATAACAACATTCATACAGTTACTATTATCAATATTCAAAACACACATTCAAACATATAGGTTAGTACTATAGATAACAACAAAACACTAAACATCACGGAGTTATCACAGCCATAACCACACAGTTAATATAATGAATTGTGATGTATTGACATCTGTGTTTTAGGTGGTTCCAAACTCAACCCCCACTGTCATAGCAGTACATAAAACACACAGGGGAAAACAGAAAGCATGAATAATCTGAAGATTTTTGATATGCATGTGTATTTGATTTTCCCTGAATAAACGTTCCTGAGATTTAACTGGATGACTGAGAATCTTCGAGTCAGGCAGACTACATATACATATACTCCTATCCAGCCAATTGTCCAACCCATAATTCATACACATCAAGTTGCACAGGGTATGTCTGTCAACGATGAGTACCTCTGGATAATGACGGATATCCCTGTCTGGGGTACATTCGATGATCGAGTGTTTCTACACTTTGTGATGGGCTTCCCTGTCTGGGGTATGACCCTGTGTGATGAGTGGACCATGTCTGGGTATAACCCCGCATAACAAGTGGACCTGCCTGGGTATGAACCTGTCTGATAAGCTACCCTCAGTGGGTGTGACCCTTTGTGACGAGTGGGCTCTGTCTGGGTATGACCCTTTGTGACGAGTGGGCTCTGTCTGGGTATGACCCTTTGTGATGAGTGGACCCTGTCTGGGTATCACACTTTGTGACGAGTGGGCTCTGTCTGGGTATGACCCTTTGTGATGAGTGGACCCTGTCTGGGTATCACACTTTGTGACGAGTGGGCTCTGTCTGGGTATGACCCTTTGTGACGAGTGGACCCTGTCTGGGTATCACACTTTGTGACGAGTGGGCTCTCTCTGGGTATGACCCTTTGTGTCAAGTGGACCCTGTCTGGGTATCACACTTTGTGACGAGTGGACCCTGTCTGGGGATATGACCCTGTCTGGCGAGCTACCCTTCTTGGGTATATGACCCTGTCTGGTGAGCTACCCTTCCTGGGTATATGACCCTGTCTGGCGAGCTACCCTTACTGGGTATATGACCCTGTCTGGCGAGCTACCCATCCTGGGTATATGACCCTGTCTGGGTATATTACCCTGTCTGGTGAGCTACCCTTCCTGGGTATATGACCCTGTCTGGCGAGCTACCCTTCCTGGGTATATTACCCTGTCTGGTGAGCTACCCTTCCTGGGTATATGACCCTGTCTGGCGAGCTACCCTTCCTGGGTATATGACCCTGTCTGGCGAGCTACCCTTCCTGGGTATATGACCCTGTCTGGCGAGCTACCCTTCCTGGGTATATGACCCTGTCTGGCGAGCTACCCATCCTGGGTATATAACCCTGTCTGGTGAGCTACCCTTCCTGGGTATATGACCCTGTCTGGCGAGCTACCCTTCCTGGGTATATGACCCTGTCTGGCGAGCTACCCTTCCTGGGTATATGACCCTGTCTGGGCGTGTTACTTGGTTAGACAAGTGTTTGTTTCTTGGAGTTGTCCTTTACTGACGAGAAATTCTACCATGATAATAACCATCAGGAAGCATGGCGGTTATCTGAACAAAGCATCCAACACTGGGAACGTTAGTGGTACTGTCACTCAATAACTACAGATCTTACTTTAAATAACAGAACAAACATATTCCTCTATAATTTGTAGATATTCCAAGCAAAAGCTACACCAACTTTCATGGAGGGAAAGTTACGCTCCACTGAACCGGGACCAATCCAAATGCAAGGTTGTCTCTATAGGTACCTGTACATGTAACTTTGGCCAGTAGGGGAGCACATCCACATCCCTTTAAGGTCTAGCAAGCAACAAAGTTTAGTGTTCCGACATGAAGCAAAAGGCCTCAGTATATACACACATCAATCTTAAACAGTGATAATCCTTCACCAATAATCATATTGTTAGAGCGCCACCTACAAGCATACATCTTTACCAAGGGGAGACAATACACTGTGGAATAGAAACATTCTAATGCTTACAAACCTATGTACAGATACAAGGTTGAAACGTGCAACACTATTCATTGCCAGTGCCCATCCCATCTTACACCAGGGGAGCTAACACATAAACCATTAGAGCAGTAATCAACTAAATTAGAACTTGGTTACAGACAGAACACGTATCACGTCATGAAAATCTACTCTGGACTCATGTTACCCATTAGCTCTTTACTTAACCAAACATTCTAAACTTGACCAAGTCCTTCCTGAAACTTTGTTCCACCAATGCTCCATGGAGGTGTCATTAATGTTGTAGCTAAAACATCAACTATAATTATCATGTCCAGCATCTCTTCAGAACAGTTTCTCTATTTCCTGTAGCATGCTATGTAGCTGGTAATATGTCGCTTCATTTCTCAGTTCCCGCAAAACTTGCCGGTTTCTAGGGAGACCATCTGTGTTGAGACGTCCATCCCGCAGGTAGTTGAGGATATACCGAAAGTGAGTTCCATCTCGATCGATGAACACTGTGCCGTCTGTCTCTGTGCAGATATTATGACGTCCACTGAACATAGCTGCCAACATTGACTCCGGGTCTTGGGTCAAGGTCAGGCGAGATGTTGTAAAGATGTTCCCGCCAATATCTAGTCTGATCCTTCCCTGAAAGCCAAACCAATACACAACGGTAAGAAAGAGTGAACAGTCCTCAACATTTCACAATGCATATTTGTGTCATAAAAACTTTATAAATTATCAAATTTAAGACAATCAACAAAATGTGTTTTGTAAACATTGGTCGTTATCGGTTCATCAAAGAAATCTATATTAGAGTATAACCAGCATCAACTTTTACAAAAGAATAATGTTTTTGTGTATATAAAACATATATACTAAGTTTTAAGCTAATAATGATTATGACAAATCATGTCTGTTTGAGGAGGCGTCGGTATCTCTCGATGCCGTACGTTCCATGGCTTTGATTCTGGTTGTATTATGTTGTTAACAGTTCCAAACAGTCAGAAATGGGTTCAATCAGAAGCTTAAAACTTAAAATAAATCATATCACATGTTACAAAATGATTACCTTGTTACAGAATATCTAATTCGTGTTGTTTTACCCACGTGATACCGTGGAACTATACAACATGAACATTCTTCATTGTTTAATTACTGCAGTGTACCCAGGTCATCAGTAACTAGGGGTCCTCCCAAACTTAGGTGAGAGCTCACCTATCTCGTCATTAACTCAAGCAGGTGGAAACAGGAGTGTTATCAAAACTCATTGTCTATTGTAGATGTGCATTATAAAGAAAGAAAAAACCAAAACATGTAGCATAACATAAGCATCACTTGACATCGAACAAAAATAATATAAACATCATCTTCATCTCACATTAAACTTACAGCATTTACTTGTAATATTAGGACTTTATAAAGTAGATTATCATCTAATGGAACACATAATGAACAAAGTCCAGCAAACTTGAAATTCCCTGACTTATCTTCTACACTATCAATATGTTTTCTCCTTTTCCTTTTCATATGTATTGTATAGGCCTCAGTATTAAGTAAGTACTCAAGGACACATTAAAGACCATGAATCCTGTATTCATTGACGATTAAAGACCATGAATCCTGTATTCATTGACGAATAAAGACCATGAATCCTGTATTCATTGACGAATAAAGACCATGAATCCTGTATTCATTGACGAATAAAGACCATGAATCCTGTATTCATTGACGAATAAAGACCATGAATCCTGTATTCATTGACGAATAAAGACCATGAATCCTGTATTCATTGACAAATAAAGACCATGAATCCTGTATTCATTGACGAATAAAGACCATGAATCCTGTATTCATTGACGAAAAAAGACCATGAATCCTGTCCTCAGTGAGGCATCAAAGAACATGAATCCTGTCCTCAGTGAGGCATCAAAGAACATGAATCCTGTCCTCAGTGAGGCATCAAAGACCATGAATCCTGTCCTCAGTGAGGCATCAAAGACCATGAATCCTGTCCTCAGTGAGGATCAAAGAACATGAATCCTGTCCTCAGTGGGGCATCAAAGACCATGAATCCTGTCCTCAGTGAGGCATCAAAGACCATGAATCCTGTCCTCAGTGAGGCATCAAAGACCATGAATCCTGTCCTCAGTGAGGATCAAAGAACATGAATCCTGTCCTCAGTGAGGCATCAAAGAACATGAATCCTGTCCTCAGTGAGGCATCAAAGAACATGAATCCTGTCCTCAGTGAGGCATCAAAGAACATGAATCCTGTCCTCAGTGAGGCATCAAAGAACATGAATCCTGTCCTCAGTGAGGCATCAAAGACCATGAATCCTGTCCTCAGTGAGGCATCAAAGAACATGAATCCTGTCCTCAGTGAGGCATCAAAGACCATGAATCCTGTCCTCAGTGAGGCATCAAAGACCATGAATCCTGTCCTCAGTGAGGCATCAAAGACCATGAAACCTGTCCTCAGTGAGGCATCAAAGACCATGAATCCTGTCCTCAGTGAGGCATAAAAGACCATGAATCCTGTCCTCAGTGAGGCATCAAAGAACATGAATCCTGTCCTCAGTGAGGCATCAAAGACCATGAAACCTGTTTTTGAGCATGCCTAATGACCATCAATCCTGTATTCAGTGACATATTATTGACCACAAATCATGTACTCATTGGCGTATTAATGACCATGAATCCCGTATTCAATCGCATGTTAATGACCATGAATTCTGTATTCATTGGCACATTAATGGCCAGTAATCATGTATTCATTGAGGAATGAAAGACTGTGAATCCTTAATGTCACAGTAGTTGTCATGAATCCTGTATTCAATCATGCATTAATGACCATGAATCCCGTATTCAATCGCACGTTAATGATCATGAATCCTGTATTCATTGGCACATTAATGGCCAGGAATCAGGTTTTCACGGAGGAATGAAAGACTGTGAATCCTTAATGACACAGTAGTTTTCATGAATCCTGTTTTCAATGATATGTTTGAATGGCTGTAAATCCTGTATTTTTTTACTTATTAATGATCATGACTCTTGTATTCACTGGCAAATTAAGGACAATAAATTCTGTATTTTTAATGAGTTAATGGTCATTAATCCTATATTCTAGAATGCAATAAAACACAATAAATCCTTACATTGCATGTATCTGTCTTACCCAAATATCGAACCCATGGGGAATTCAAGGTTGCTGTTTGGTTCATTAACATGAATGAATAATGGCTCTAGAAAATGTTACTTATTCTCATTATTTACAATCAGATCGGAACTCGAACATTACCTGGACGTTTGACACCCAACTTCAAATGATTATCTACCCTTACATTTCAAATGATTGTCTACCCCTACATTTTTTAAATGATTGTCTACCCTTACATCTCAAATTATCTACCCTTACATTTCAAATGATTGTCTACCCCTACATTTCAAATGATTGTCTACCCTTACATCTCAAATAATTATCTACCCTTACATTTCAAATAATTGTTTACCCTTACATTTCAAATAATTATCTACCCTTACATTTCAAATAATTGTCTACCCTTACATTGGATGGCCTATCAAGGAAGGTCTTGTTGTGAAAATACTTCTTTCTCTTCATATAAAACCTTAGAGCCCTGTATGTCGTGCTACTGGACAAATAGCAAGTACGTGTGGGACCATGTGACGTCATCGAAGTGGGTAGATAGTATATAATATTACCCTCGCCTGAAACAAATACCCGACAGTGGGCAAAGAGATTAACTACATAGTCATTCAGTGGTTAGGTTAGCTACACAATCATACAGTGGGCAAACAGTTTAACTATACAGTCAAAATGTGGTCATAATTATAGTACATAATCATACATTGGACAAAAACAACTACAACATCAGCGGGGACAGCCTTGGCGAGGTGGGCTCATCGTATTTAAAGCTGCATTGTGGGTGAAGAAGATTCGAGACTTACATACTATATAAGTAGCAGTAGTGTATCAATGTAATTATACATCTGATGCTTTTCATTTGTAATATATGAAATATTTTGTGGAAACAGATTGCTCAAATGTTCATGTTGATGTACGCTGAATCAGTTCCATCACCTACTCTATCAAAAATATGCAAAAGGTTGGTATCCTATTGTCTTAACAGAAGAAACTTTATCAAGACTTTAGCAATTCTCAAATCATTATAAAATGGAATGTTGTAGATCTCGATCATGGTGCAGCTTTAAATAAATAGCGTTTAAATGATGTAAATACTTTTTACATTGCCTGTAATATCTTCATATGTTTTATAACATAACCAATCAGAATTTGATAATTGCAGTTATAATGTCTATATTTAACAAAAGGAATTTTTTTACATTGACGTAAAGAGGAAAATACTTACCAATGTTTGCAAATTAAGAAACATTTAGATATTCCTAATTTGCTGATAATCTGGGAATTCTGTGAGGTATATTATTCCATATTTCGTATCATCTACTTCAGTTTAAAGAGAGCATCTAACGTGTTGCTGAGAAATGAGCAGGTATATTCCAGGCGTTTTATAAACTGTAACATGGTGTGTCACATGACATTATCAACACTGGTAAATAGACTATACCAACACAACATGTTGATTCTATCTCACAATTTTCCTCAAGTAACATTCACAGTACTCCGAAGGATATATTACAACTCCAGAATAGCGTAATTCTGTTATCTAGATGCACAGATTTTGTCTTCAAGTCAATTGTTCAATCGTTTTTTCTTATTAACCAGTTTAATGTTATTCCATTGAAATTCTTAAGCATGAATTCGATCGCCTAACCACCTGTTGTACAGTGAAGTGTCTTTCAACTCGACAAGTCAGATTTTGTTTGCGAACATATGTCTCGAAACCCGATGAATGGATTGATACACGAAATCTAGCCCAAAATATGCATTGTACACAGCACAACAAATGAGGGTACTTACCAATCAATTTGAAATCTGCTTATTTCACTTGTACATTGTACCTACCTTCAATGGATAACAAATGATTCCATCCAAGGACTAACTTTGTGTTTTTCTATAAATACTGTGATAATGTTCGTTTTTGATAAATTTTATACAGATCAGACTTGGTAAGTCAAAGATTAATGGTTTCACCTTATACAGTTTCAATGTTAGGCAAATCCTCCTGAGACAATTTGAGACAAACTGTTCAATTCTATTACACAGAGATACTGACCTGAGCAGAAACAGCCTTTCAAACGTTTACCTACCTTTTCACTCCAACATTACTCATCATCTGATCTTGGATTTCTAACACGAAACAATTAGAATGATTCCCCTCGCATCAAACATATATTCGCAAAGGTATAGATTATCAAGTTTCCGGAAGACCTGTCTCTCTTAAAGATGTGATATACCTTTTGAACATCATGCATTTCTTCCATACGGGCAAGTTCATCCCTCAGTTGTTGCCACTGTCGACAAATCTCTTCTTTTTCTTTGTGCATGTCCTTGTCGAACTTGTCCTTTTCCTGTTCCAGTTTTTTCTCCTTTTCCCTAACTTCCTTCTCTAATTTCTCCAGTTCAGCAGTCCTTGTCTCCAACTGCTGTTTCAGGCTGATTAACGTAGCTTTCTTATCAATGGCGTGCTGGTGGATTGTCTCAATCTCTCCTATTCTCGTGGTTACATGTTCCTCAATAGCTTCAGTTAGACTGTTGTGCTTGTCCTTCAGACTGGCTTTGATTTCTTCCAGGACTTTCTCTACAGGGAAACAAATGTTGTACACATAAAGTAAATATTATGAGGTGACTTCAGCAAGAACATGTAATTACTTCTATTTAAAATTTCAAGCCTATGGAAGATATTAGGAATAATAAAATAACTGGTAACAATGTTGTATGACAATCATAAAAGCAAAATGCAAAAATATCCTAGTACCACCATCACACATGATATTGTAGAGAAAGCTGATTTCTGGTACAATATCTTGATCGTCATTTTCTTACCTAGTCGAGCGTTTATCTCACAAGCTTGCTCCGTTTTGTTGGTCTTCACACTAACGCCACCGTCACACAAGTGAACGCCTAGTTGGTCGCAGTTCTGCAAGAGGTCCTTACAGATGAAGCACATGTCAGACTCGTCTGCCCGGCGGGACGACGAGGAGCTCCTTGGGGAACTACTAGACGAGCGTGATGAGCTAGCATTGTTGTGATTGTGATTCCTGTTCCAGAATCGGGACTGGTAATTGTTAAATGGCGGTGGATGATGGAAATTATTTGGTCCCCAGTTAGATGCTCTGTACCCTGGAATATGTGCGTTTTGTTGATATTGCGGGGGTACCATTTGCATCTGTTGCCCTGGGAAACGATCATCCATCATAGGCATCCCTTGTTGCCATGGAGCTCTGTGATCATTGTTGTACACAAAATTGCCCTGATGAGGTCCTTGACTTGGCATGGTGATGTTGATCGTATCTGTAAAAGGCCAAATCTCGTTTTAATCAACTGAAAACAATAGGATGGTCACTGTTAAAAACTACAACATACAGCTATTTCGTCCTTTTAGGACTAGTCAGAAAAACAAAAGGGCTTTAATTTCGAAAGCGAGGAGTCAACTGAGAAAGTCAAGACTGATAAAAAAAAATGTCAAATTCTAGATGGGAAGTTGCAACAGCCCGTAATTGAATACATTTCCTTACTTTTACATATCTCATAATTTCAGAAGAATGTCAAAAACATGTGTATGATTTAAAACGTAGCATGCAGGCATCGTCAAACCTCAGGGACTTGCATCCACTAGCAGTGGCTACCACCTATAATTTCAAAAACTGTATGAATGACACAAATGAAAAGCACATTTCAATATTTGAAATTAAAATACAGTAGAGCCAAATGATGAAAACATGTTTTAAGTTTGATTTGTAAACACCTGGTGGATTGTTATATAAACACTGGTTAAGGATGGTTATATAAACACTGGTTTGAGTTGGTTATATAAACACTGGTTAAGATTGGTTATATAAACACTGGTTTGGATTGTTATATAAACACTGGTTTGAGTTGGTTATATAAACACTGGTTAAGATTGGTTATAAACACTGGTTTGGAATGTTATATAAACACTGGTTTGAGTTGGTTATATAAACACTGGTTAAGGATGGTTATATAAACACTGATTCGGATTGTTATATAAACACTGGTTATGGTTGGTTATATAAACACTGGTTAAGGTTGGTTATATAAACACTAATTGGGATTGTTATATAAACACTGGTTAAGGATGGTTATATAAACACTGGTTAAGGATGGTTATATAAACACTGGTTAAGGATGGTTATATAAACACTGGTTAAGGTTGGTTATATAAACACTGATTTGGATGGTTATATAAACACTGGTTAAGGATGGTTATATAAACACTGGTAAAGGTTGGTTATATAAATACTGATTTGGATTGTTATATAAACACTGGTTAATGATGGTTATATAAACACTGGTTAAGGATGGTTATATAAACACTGGTTAAGGATGGTTATATAAACACTGGTTAAGGATGGTTATATAAACACTGGTAAAGGTTGGTTATATAAACACTGGTTAAGGTTGGTTATATAAACACTGATTTAGATTGTTATATAAACACTGGTTAAGGATGGTTATATAAACACTGGTTAAGGATGGTTATATAAACACTGGTTAAGGATGGTTATATAAACACTGGTTTAGGTTGTTATATAAATACTGGTTAAGGATGGTTATATAAACACTGGTTAAGGATGGTTATATAAACACTGGTTTAGGTTGTTATATAAATACTGGTTAAGGATGGTTATATAAACACTGGTTAAGGTTGGTTATATAAACACTGATTTGGATTGTTATATAAAAACAGGTTAAGGATGGTTATATAAACACTGGTTTAGGTTGGTTATATAGACACTGGTTTAGGTTGTTATATAAACACTGGTTAAGGATGGTTATATAAACACTGGGTAAGGATGGTTATATAAAAACTGGTTAAGGATGGTTATATAAACACTGATTTGGATGGTTATATAAACACTGGTTAAGGATGGTTATATAAACACTGGTTAAGGTTGGTTATATAAACACTGATTTAGATTGTTATAAAAACACTGGTTAAGGATGGTTATATAAACACTGGTTTAGGTTGTTATATAAATACTGGTTAAGGATGGTTATATAAACACTGGTTAAGGATGGTTATATAAACACTGATTTGGATTGTTATATAAACACTGATTGGGATTGTTATATAAACACTGGTTAAGGATGGTTACATAAACACTGGTTAAGGATGGTTATATAAACACTGGTTTAGGTTGTTATATAAACACTGGTTAAGGATGGTTATATAAACACTGGTTAAGGATGGTTATATAAACACTGGTAAAGGTTGGTTATATAAACACTGATTTGGATGGTTATATAAACACTGGTAAAGGTTGGTTATATAAACACTGGTTAAGGTTGGTTATATAAACACTGATTTAGATTGTTATATAAAACACTGGTTAAGGATGGTTATATAAACACTGGTTAAGGATGGTTTTATAAACACTGGTTAAGGATGGTTATATAAACACTGGTTTAGGTTGTTATATAAATACTGGTTAAGGATGGTTATATAAACACTGGTTAAGGATGGTTATATAAACACTGGTTTAGGTTGTTATATAAATACTGGTTAAGGATGGTTATATAAACACTGGTTAAGAATGGTTATATAAACACTGATTTGGATTGTTATATAAACACTGATTGGGATTGTTATATAAACACTGGTTAAGGATGGTTATATAAACACTGGTTTAGGTTGGTTATATAGACACTGGTTTAGGTTGTTATATAAACACTGGTTAAGGATGGTTATATAAACACTGGTTAAGGATGGTTATATAAAAACTGGTTAAGGATGGTTATATAAACACTGATTTGGATGGTTATATAAACACTGGTTAAGGATGGTTATATAAACACTGGTTAAGGTTGGTTATATAAACACTGATTTAGATTGTTATAAAAACACTGGTTAAGGATGGTTATATAAACACTGGTTAAGGTTGTTATATAAATACTGGTTAAGGATGGTTATATAAACACTGGTTAAGGATGGTTATATAAACACTGATTTGGATTGTTATATAAACACTGATTGGGATTGTTATATAAACACTGGTTAAGGATGGTTATATAAACACTGGTTTAGGTTGGTTATATAGACACTGGTTTAGGTTGTTATATAAACACTGGTTAAGGATGGTTATATAAACACTGGTTAAGGATGGTTATATAAAAACTGGTTAAGGATGGTTATATAAACACTGATTTGGATGGTTATATAAACACTGGTTAAGGATGGTTATATAAACACTGGTTAAGGTTGGTTATATAAACACTGATTTAGATTGTTATAAAAACACTGGTTAAGGATGGTTATATAAACACTGGTTTAGGTTGTTATATAAATACTGGTTAAGGATGGTTATATAAACACTGTCATGATCACATGTAGTCAATTTAATTTTCATATGTTGTTTTTCGTGTTTAGTTGTTTATTGTCGTGTACGAGTATTTTATGGTATGTATGGAAGTACGGTGTCAGCGGAAGTGCGGGTGCACGTGCGGAATGTTGTTTTTATCTACGGGACTACAGGTAGGGTATGCCTAGAGTAATGGCTGTTTAGTGAATGCCTGTGGTCGATTGTCGGTTATTAACATCGAAACAGGCTCTGAAATCAGACCGGGGTAAGTTAATAATGTTTAAGTATTCTGGTTGCTTCTATAATTTCTTACTTTGAATGTTTTTTTTTTCCGGTAAATGTCTTTTAGCATATATTTTAACGTGTGGTCGAATCATGCGTAACCATTGTTTACATCTATATTGGCGTTGTTTACATGTAGGTTATATATGATTATTTGGCTATTGCTATGTTATGGTGTTAGTTATAGTGTGTATAGAGTTCTTATGTTGAAATATAAATCATCATTCCAAGTTGTGATAAGTTACAGGTAAATTAGTTTGATGAATTTCACCTGTATAAAAATTACGGAAGCCCTTACGGGACATAGCTTAGCTATTGTGTACATGGATGTTAGTGTTAGGAATGGAACGACACGGGTTTATGTCTGTGTGACAGGCGAGTCAGCGTGCTAAGGGAAGGAGCAGGCGATAACACTACGCCTACATGTGGTTGACGTCTGGTGTTATGGACGTACTGGTGAGATAACCAGCCACTGCGGAGCTGTGCCAGATTATTTGTGCTAGCAGCTATTTTTTCTATACTGTACCTGCGGGAAAGTATGTTTGATGATACTGCTGTACCCGACATTCTTGCGGAGCTCTTGTCCGTGTGCCTGGATTGCGGTTCAGGTGTTGACCTTTGTGATGTTTGTCGTGAGGGAAACTTGTGACTGTCGTGCCGTGTGGATAATGAACTATGAACTTTGAACTTTCGTGTTGGAGTGAGTGTGAATGTGTCTTAGTGTGAGATTTATATGTATCTGTATAAAATATATGTAGTAAATAGTTTCATGAAAAACCGTTTGTTGTCTTCAATCCCAAACACCCTTCTCGACCGCTTGTCCTACGTTACAAACACTGATTTGGATTGTTATATAAACACTGGTTGAGGATGGTTATATAAACACTGGTCAAGGTTGGTTATATAAACACTGGTTTGGGTTGGTTATATAAACACTGGTTTAGGTTGTTATATAAACACTGGTTAAGGTTGGTTATATAAACACTGATTTGGATTGTTATATAAACACTGGTTGAGGATGGTTATATAAACACTGGTTAAGGTTGGTTATATAAACACTGGTTTGGGTTGGTTATATAAACACTGGTTAAGGTTGGTTATATAAACACTGGTTTGGGTTGGTTATATAAACACTGGTTTAGGTTGCTATATAAACACTGGTTAAGGTTGGTTATATAAACACTGATTTGGATTGTTATATAAACACTGGTTGAGGATGGTTATATAAACACTGGTTTGGGTTGGTTATATAAACACTATTTAGGTTGGTTATATAGCCACTGGTTCAGGTTGTTATATAAACACTGGTTTAGGTTGGTTATATAAACACTGATTTGGATTGTTATATAAACACTGGTAAAGGTTGGCTATATAGACACTGGTTTAGGTTGTTATATAAACACTGGTTTAGGTTGTGAAATAAACACTGGTTTTGGTTGGTTATATAAACACTGGTCTAGGTTGGTTATATAGACACTGGTTTAGGTTGTTATATAAAAACTATTTAGGTTGGTTATATAGACACTGGTTTAGGTTGTTATATAAAAACTAGTTAGGTTGGTTATATAAACACTGGTTTACGTTGGTTATATAAACACTGGTTTACGTTGGTTATATAAACACTGGTCTAGGTTGGTTATATAGACACTGGTTTAGGTTGTTATATAAACACTGGTTTAGGTTGGTTATATAGACACTGGTTTAGGTTGTTATATAAAAACTAGTTAGGTTGGTTATATAAACACTGGTTTACGTTGGTTATATAAACACTGGTTTAGGATGGTTATATAAACACTGATTTAGGTTGGTTATATAAACGCTGGCTAAGGATGGTTATATAAACACTGGTTGAGGATGGTTATATAAACACTGGTTAAGGATGGTTATATAAACACTACTTTAGGTTGTTATATAAACACTGGTCTAGGTTGGTTATATAAACACTGGTTTAGGTTGTTATATAAACACTGGTTTAGGTTGGTTATGTAAACACTGGTCTAGGTTGGTTATATAAACACTGGTTGAGGATGGTTATATAAACACTGGTTTAGGTTGGTTATATAAACACTGGTTTAGGTTGGTTATATAAACACTGGTTTAGGTGGTGATATAAAGACTGGTTAGGGTTGTTTATATAAACACTGGTTAAGGATGGTTATATAAACACTGGTTTGGGTTGGTTATATAAACACTAGTTTAGGTTGGTTATATAGCCACTGGTTCAGGTTGTTATATAAACACTGGTTTAGGTTGGTTATGTAAACACTGGTCTAGGTTGGTTATATAAACACTGGTTTAGGTTGTTATACAAACACTGGTTTAGGATGGTTATATAAGCACTAGTTTGGGTTGGTTATATAGACATTGGTTTAGGATGGTTATATAAGCACTAGTTTGGGTTGGTTATACAGACATTGGTTTAGACTGATGTTAGTGCCTGTAATAAACAGGTAACTGATAGGTTGACAAACAACTTTATAAATCATACATGGACTTATCAGCTGGATCAGGTGATATAATACCTTATCTGATGTCTATAGGTTTTTTTCCGCATGACTACATGCTTCTGATTACAGGTACATCATCAAACGAAATATCACCAAATATGTATAAAATATATTGTCAATAACAGTGCGATAATTATGTGTTTTACTTGTAAATAGCAAAAATTATATTGTTGTCATAAATTTATAATTTCTATATTGCTATCATATATAAAGGATGCACTACTGTGATGTTTTGACCTGAAGTACGACACGATTCGATATATAATGAATTCCAACATAATATCTTCAACTTTGGTATTTGTTAGCATACATTTCAACAAGGGAAAGATGTCACAAATCCATTCTGATTTTTCAATGGTATTCATTAATCCACAATATTCAGAATCTGTCTAATACGTAGAACAGACTTTCACACCAACTTGTACATATATTACGTTTTCATATAGCAACCCTGTCTCTCAATATTGGTTGGTTGGTAAACTTATTTACATACAAAACCCAAACTGACACAAACAACATATAAACTAGATAAGAGAGAACATATTCTCAAGTTTATAATAAGTAAACTTTCACCTGCGACATACATATTCCTACATTACTGTATTACATATATTTAAACCATTTCAAATAACATGTAGCTGGATACAACTTCAAAACTACTGATTATTTTAAAACTATAAAACCAGTGTCTGGAACTAGAGGTATCCCCTACAGCTGACCCTACAGAAAGAGGGAGCTGACACAGCACATATTCTCCTCTCTCTTACCACTTCCTATCTTTCCTTTCTACTCATTTTCCTAACTCTTCTGGTCACCTGAAAGGTGGAAAGGCTGTAATTGTGGACGTAAAACCCTTTAACAGTGTGACACTTCCTACATACCTTACACAAATCACAGAGCACTTATGTAGTTTTTACCTGGCTAACAACTCTACACTACTATAGGTAGTCTACTACATACCTTACACAAATCACGAAGCACTTATGTAGTTTTTACCTGGCTAACAACCCTACACTACTATGTTAGTCTAGTACATTTTGATATCAACAGTTGTACTTATAAACAAAAAACAGGATGATTTTTATGATGCTTTCAAGAAATTTTGCTTGAGGACTACTGTATTTGACGGCAGGATTCGATTAATGGAATCAATGTTTCAACGTTTTCTTATTGCAAAGGTAATTCTCTTGAGTATAGATCTTGGGTAGATTTCAACTAAATTTTACATGAATTATCACCACAAACCAAAGATTTCAAAATCCTCAATTCTGACTTGGTGGATCCCTTTCATGAATTTTTAGGACCCAGAAACAAATAATTCAGGCTGTCTATTTAAGTGAAAATTTGCATCAAATAAACCACAATGACCCCTTCTTTTTCAATCATGAAAAGTATCAATGAAAAATTTCTCTATCCAAATATACAGGATTTAAAAAGTTTGATACTGGAGGATAATCAAATAAAGGATTTTGGTCATTTTCAAACATTTTCATTTTTTGGTTGCTATACAGATTAAAGCTCGTTAAAACAAATGAAAACTTACCATTAATTTTTCTTAATATTCCAGTATCATACCCTTATCTTGTAATGAATTTATTGTAAAAAAGACTGCTGCGAAATAAACAGGGAATCACTGTTATTCAGAAAAAAAAAATAACAATGTGAAAATGAATCATTTCCTATTATACATACACAAACATGTCCAAAGACAGGACAGACAAGAGATCCCAGAAGAATCGTGGTGACCACCATTGTTTGATCTACATTTGCCCTTTGAATGTTGAATCTTTTCCGTTCAGTGCTTCTTAAGAAATAGAGATAACAATCTTGACTAGGCAAAATCCTAGATGACTGCCTGTTGGCCATTTCATTTTTTTTTTTAATCAGTCCCAAAAACAGACAGGCACAACAAGGGACCAAGAGAAACCTATATATATAAATTGAGAAAGTTTTACGCAGCATTTCTCAAGAAAAAACAATATTAAACTTTCAAAATCACAATCCAAGATGGCCACCTGTTGGCCATTTTGGTTTTCTTATCAGACCCAAAATCAAATGGGCATAACTACGGACCAAGGTGAACATATATATGACATTTAAAAGAGATCCATTCAGGACTTCTCGAGCAACAGCGATAACAAATTTTCTCAGTAAAAATTCAAAATGGCCATTTGTCGGCCATTTTGTTTTTCTGATCAGACCCGAAATCAAATGCGTACCACTACGGACCATATGACATTTAAAAGAGATCCATCCAGTACATCTCAAGAAATAGTGATAACAAATTTTCTAAGTCAAATTCCAATATGGCCACCTGTTGGCTATTTTGTTTTTCTCATCAGACCCAAAGCTGAATGGGATAAAAAAAAACTTTCAATGTCAAAATCCAATCATCAAAAAAAAGTTTATTATTGTCTTTTTTTTACTTCTCAGAGGAGTTCATTTTTAAAGATACAAGTACATTTGCACTTAAAACGGTCATTAAATATTATAAAAAAATAACAATTCACTTCGATTTATTCATAAATTTCCGCTAAGCAGGGTCCGACTGAACTTGTATACGTAAACGTAGCCACCATCTGCGACATCGCCCTGAACAACTGATATATCCGAATACACAGCTGGCGCTCCGCCTGTTGGAAGGCAGTGACCACCTGTGACTCGATCTACAAGTCATTTTAGTACAGATGATGATAAACTTCTTATAACAAAGTCTTGACACCACATATAGGTCGAAATAATCCACATGGCGACTGATTTATTTATATCACAAGTCAGCGAACAAAGAGATATCTTTCCATAAGGGCAATACACAGCGATATCACGTGATCACCAAACGTACACAATACACAGCCAGCTGTCAGAAGCCTTCGACCGTGACGAAAACGTAAACACGATTGTAAATCGCGATTTTCTGCAAACATCAAATTAAATTAGGGCAAAATATAACGTGAAATTATGAAAATTACTATAATAATAATGTTGGCCTACCGTGGTATAGCTGTGATAGGCAGATCGTCTGTTTAACGTGGAAATTTCTACGAGACACCAATGTCAGCTGTGTTCACCTTCTGCGCAGATAGATTGTAAACATTGACTCGGCAATTTCCGGTTAACTCCGATAAAATACGTTTGTTGATCAGGGGAAGCCACTCGTGTAGACCTGGTCGAACCATATAAGATTACATATAAAAGTATCAAACACTTGGCCTAAACAGTAGAATTACATTTACACTCGTCCAAATGTTTGTATTAAGTTATTTCCGTACGGTGTAATTACTCTTTGTCATGTCTATAAAGACATATTTTGGATAAAACTTTTCAGAAAAAATACATACATGCCATTGACACTGCCATAAGCGAGTCCTTGTTTCATGTCTTTGTAGAAAGAGCTACTTGTAACCGTGTAAAAGACTTGGGCAGTCAGATATACTCATGAATCCACGTTACCACTCTTTATTGATTAATCAATTAAAACATTAATTTATTGAATCAGATGGAAGCTAAATTCCGATGTTTGAAACTGATGATGAATATTCCCCGGAACAATAAAATCTCCTGTTACAATTATTGACAAGTAACAGTTGAAAACAACCATTGGCCAACTCTAACTGATTCTTAATAAAACATAACATTCATTAAAAGTAACACGGCGGTCATACGGAATTGGTTATCAACTTTAGGTCTCCTACTGGTTGGAAGTAAATGTGGTGAATACATGAACCGTCGAGATTTTTACTGCGAGACTCGTATAAATAGTAATACAATACCAATGGTAAATGTGACATCTCTCATCTTTACGAGTTCCCTAAGAGATTTTTACTGCGGAACTCGTATTAATAGTAATACCAATGGTAAATGGGGCATCTCTCATCTTTACGAGTTCCCTAAGAGATTTTTACTGCGGAACTCGTATTAATAGTAATACCACTGGTAAATATGACATCTCTCATCTTTACGAGTTCCCTAAGAGATTTTTACTGCGGAACTCGTATTAATAGTAATACCAATGGTAAATGGGGCATCTCTCATCTTTACGAGTTCCCTAAGAGATTTTTACTCCGGAACTCGTATTAATAGTAATACCAATGGTAAATGGGGCATCTCTCATCTTTACGAGTTCCCTAAGAGATTTTTACTGCGAGACTCGTATAAATAGTTATACAATACCAATGGTAAATGGGGCATCTCTCATCTTTACGAGTTCTTTAAGAAATTTTTACTCCGGGACTCGTATTAATAGTAATACCACTGCTAAATGGGACATCTCTCATCTTAACGAGTTCCCTAAGAGGTAATTGCATAGCCTATGTAAATTCTTAGAACGGCAAACATGTACACGTCGAAACGTAGATACAACGTGGGCAGAGTAGGATATGATCGGGAATCTTAGCTATTGTCATCTAGCTGTAACGTGATGGCTTGAATTGAGGAAACATTTTTTTAAAGCTCTGTCGACTTTCAGGTTAAGGTTAAGGGGTAGTTGACATGAGGCTGGGAATGCTGTGTATAACTGAGATATTAATTGAGTTCATGTTAGTGTTTAAAATTTCCTGTTCTATAATGAGACATTTAAAGTTGGTACACTTTATATAGAAATGATTAAACTTATCCATGAGTGAGATGTTGAGTTTGTTTTGAAATTTCTTGTTCTGCATTGAGTGTTTTTATTCTGTATATAGATGTGTAAATATGACGGAGATGTAGAGTTTACAATTACATTTAGTACTTTCAAGTTTTCTTGTATAAATTTGTATATATCAGTCATTACCTGTTGTATACATACTGTGACAATGTCTGACATCAGTCATTACCTGTTGTATACATACTGTGACAATGTCTGACATCAGTCATTACCTGTTGTATACATACTGTGACAATGTCTGACATCAGTCATTACCTGTTGTATACATACTGTGACAATGTCTGACATCAGTCATTAATTGTTGTATACATACTGTGACAATATCTGACATCAGTCATTACCTGTTGTATACATACTGTGACAATGTCTGACATCAGTCATTACCTGTTGTATACATACTGTGACAATGTCTGACATCAGTCATTACCTGTTGGTATACATACTGTGACAATGTCTGACATCAGTCATTAATTGTTGTATACATACTGTGACAATGTCTGACATCAGTCATTACCTGTTGTATACATACTGTGACAATGTCTGACATCAGTCATTAATTGTTGTATACATACTGTGACAATGTCTGACATCAGTCATTAATTGTTGTATACATACTGTGACAATGTCTGACATCAGTCATTACCTGTTGTATACATACTGTGACAATGTCTGACATCAGTCATTAATTGTTGTATACATACTGTGACAATGTCTGACATCAGTCATTACCTGTTGTATACATACTGTGACAATGTCTGACATCAGTCATTACCTGTTGTATACATACTGTGACAATGTCTGACATCAGTCATTACCTGTTGTATACATACTGTGACAATGTCTGACATCAGTCATTACCTGTTGTATACATACTGTGACAATGTCTGACATCAGTCATTAATTGTTGTATACATACTGTGACAATGTCTGACATCAGTCATTACATACTGTGACAATGTCTGACATCAGTCATTACCTGTTATATACATACTGTGACAATGTCTGACATTAGTCATCAACTGTTGTATACATACTGTGACAATGTCTGACATCAGTCATTACCTGTTGTATACATACTGTGACAATGTCTGTTGTATACATACTGTGACAATGTCTGACATCAGTCATTACCTGTTGTATACATACTGTGACAATGTCTGACATCAGTCATTACCTGTTGTATACATACTGTGACAATGTCTGACATCAGTCATTACCTGTTGTATACATACTGTGACAATGTCTGACATCAGTCATTACCTGTTGTATACATACTGTGACAATGTCTGACATCAGTCATTACCTGTTGTATACATACTGTGACAATGTCTGACATCAGTCATTACCTGTTGTATACATACTGTGACAATGTCTGACATCAGTCATTACCTGTTGTATACATACTGTGACAATGTCTGACATCAGTCATTACCTGTTGTATACATACTGTTGTATACATACTGTGACAATGTCTGACATCAGTCATTAAATGTTGTATACATACTGTGACAATGTCTGACATCAGTCATTACCTGTTGTATACATACTGTGACAATGTCTGACATCAGTCATTACCTGTTGTATACATACTGTGACAATGTCTGACATCAGTCTGTTGTATACATACTGTGACAATGTCATCAGTCATTACCTGTTGTATACATACTGTGACAATGTCTGACATCAGTCATTACCTGTTGTATACATACTGTGATACATACTGTGACAATGTCTGACATCAGTCATTACCTGTTGTATACATACTGTGACAATGTCTGACATCAGTCATTACCTGTTGTATACATACTGTGACAATGTCTGACATCAGTCATTACCTGTTGTATACATACTGTGACAATGTCTGACATCAGTCATTACCTGTTGTATACATACTGTGACAATGTCTGACATCAGTCATTACCTGTTGTATAAATACTGTGACAATGTCTGACATCTGCCATTACCTGTTGGTATACATAATGTGACAATGTCTGACATCAGTCATTACCTGTTGTATACATACTGTGACAATGTCTGACATCAGTCATTAAATGTTGTATACATACTGTGACAATGTCTGACATCAGTCATTACCTGTTGTATACATACTGTGACAATGTCTGACATCAGTCATTACCTGTTGTATACATACTGTGACAATGTCTGACATCAGTCATTACCTGTTGTATACATACTGTGACAATGTCTGACATCAGTCATTACCTGTTGTATACATACTGTGACAATGTCTGACATCAGTCATTACCTGTTGTATACATACTGTGACAATGTCTGACATCAGTCATTAATTGTTGTATACATACTGTGACAATGTCTGACATCAGTCATTACCTGTTGTATACATACTGTGACAATGTCTGACATCAGTCATTACCTGTTGTATACATACTGTGACAATGTCTGACATCAGTCATTACCTGTTGTATACATACTGTGACAATGTCTGACATCAGTCATCAACTGTTGTATACATACTGTGACAATGTCTGACATCAGTCATTACCTGTTGTATACATACTGTGACAATGTCTGACATCAGTCATTACCTGTTGTATACATACTGTGACAATGTCTGACATCAGTCATTACCTGTTGTATACATACTGTGACAATGTCTGACATCAGTCATTACCTGTTGTATACATACTGTGACAATGTCTGACATCAGTCATTACCTGTCATCAGTCAACCTGTTGTATACATACTGTGACAATGTCTGACATCAGTCATTACCTGTTGTATACATACTGTGACAATGTCTGACATGTCATACTGTGACAATGTCTGACATCAGTCATTACCTGTTGTATACATACTGTGACAATGTCTGACATCAGTCATTACCTGTTGTATACATACTGTGACAATGTCTGACATCAGTCATTAATTGTTGTATACATACTGTGACAATGTCTGACATCAGTCATTAATTGTTGCATACATACTGTGACAATGTCTGACATCAGTCATTACCTGTTGTATACATACTGTGACAATGTCTGACATCAGTCATTACCTGTTGTATACATACTGTGACAATGTCTGACATCAGTCATTACCTGTTGTATACATACTGTGACAATGTCTGACATCAGTCATCAACTGTTGTATACATACTGTGACAATGTCTGACATCAGTCATTACCTGTTGTATACATACTGTGACAATGTCTGACATCAGTCATTACCTGTTGTATACATACTGTGACAATGTCTGACATCAGTCATTACCTGTTGTATACATACTGTGACAATGTCTGACATCAGTCATTACCTGTTGTATACATACTGTGACAATGTCTGACATCAGTCATTACCTGTTGTATACATACTGTGACAATGTCTGACATCAGTCATTAAGTGTTGTATACATACTGTGACAATGTCTGACATCAGTCATTACCTGTTGTATACATACTGTGACAATGTCTGACATCAGTCATTACCTGTTGTATACATACTGTGACAATGTCTGACATCAGTCATTACCTGTTGTATACATACTGTGACAATGTCTGACATCAGTCATTACCTGTTGTATACATACTGTGACAATGTCTGACATCAGTCATCAACTGTTGTATACATACTGTGACAATGTCTGACATCAGTCATTACCTGTTGTATACATACTGTGACAATGTCTGACATCAGTCATCAACTGTTGTATACATACTGTGACAATGTCTGACAATGTCTGACATCAGTCATTACCTGTTGTATACATACTGTGACAATGTCTGACATCAGTCATTAACATACAGTGACATCAGTCATTAACTGTTGTATACATACTGTGACAATGTCTGACATCAGTCATTACCTGTTGTATACATACTGTGACAATGTCTGACATCAGTCATTAATTGTTGTATACATACTGTGACAATGTCTGACATCAGTCATTACCTGTTGTATACATACTGTGACAATGTCTGACATCAGTCATTACCTGTTGACATCAGTCATTACCTGTTGTATACATACTGTGACAATGTCTGACATCAGTCATCAACTGTTGTATACATACTGTGACAATGTCTGACATCAGTCATTAATTGTTGTATACATACTGTGACAATGTCTGACATCAGTCATTACCTGTTGTATACATACTGTGACAATGTCTGACATCAGTCATTACCTGTTGTATACATACTGTGACAATGTCTGACATCAGTCATTAATTGTTGTATACATACTGTGACAATGTCTGACATCAGTCATTAATATACTGTGACAATGTCTGACATCAGTCATTACCTGTTGTATACATACTGTGACAATGTCTGACATCAGTCATTACCTGTTGTATACATACTGTGACAATGTCTGACATCAGTCATTACCTGTTGTATACATACTGTGACAATGTCTGACATCAGTCATTAATTGTTGTATACATACTGTGACAATGTCTGACATCAGTCATTACCTGTTGTATACATACTGTGACAATGTCTGACATCAGTCATTACCTGTTGTATACATACTGTGACAATGTCTGACATCAGTCATTAATTGTTGTATACATACTGTGACAATGTCTGACATCAGTCATTACCTGTTGGTATATTCACTGCAACAATGTCTGACATCAGTCATTACCTGTTGTATACATACTGTGACAATGTCTGACATCAGTCATTACCTGTTGTATACATACTGTGACAATGTCTGACATCAGCCATAATTTCACTTTAGATCAATGAATAACAATGACAAACTTCAAATACAGTAATTTATTCAAATTTCAGAGAAAAATTGCAAATATGAAAGATGACAACTCATTGTGTACCCAATAGAAGACAGACTTGAATAAACAAGAAGTATTGTAAATACAAATATTTTGTTGATGTATCAATATATTATTTTTCCTCTCACTTTCTCAAAATACACACACATCTTCCATCAATGTTCCTCTTACAACACAATCAACAATTGTCCTGGTCATGAATACAGCTGGTTGCTGTAGGCATCACAGGTCTACATACAGGACAGAGTGAAAGAAACAAAAATTGGAGGTAAATGAAATATAGGACAATGGTAGGACAAATTGATTGACATCAAGATATAAAACTGTAGGACAATGGTAGGACAAATATTGGATTTCAAGATTTAGAACTGTAGGACAATGGTAGGACAGAACATTGGACATCAAGATTTAGAACTGTAGGACAATGGTAGGACAGAATATTGGACATCAAGATTTAGAACTGTAGGACAATGGTAGGACAGAACATTGGACATCAAGATATAAAACTGTAGGACAAATTGATTGACATCAAGATTTAGAACTGTAGGACAATGGTAGGATAAATTGATTGACATCAAGATTTAGAACTGTAGGACAATGGTAGGACAGAACATTGGACATCAAGATTTAGAACTGTAGGACAATGGTAGGACAGAATATTGGAGATACAGATATAGAACTAAAGGACAGTCAGATGTAAAATCTAAACAAAACACCACCTTACAACTGACATAGTCAATAATAAATAATTTATTTATCTGTTCTGATGGTAGCACTTTTCTCCAATGATTAACACTATACCAATACCAAGTAAGGTTTGGCTAATTTTCATCCACAACTCTGATATCTTTCACAGGAAAGTATGGCATTATGATAGTACAGCAATATGATCGTTCATCCAGAAACAGAATGAAAACTTATTTACCACAAAATTTGTCACACTGATATAAAATTTACACCAGATTAAAAGACATCAATTTCAGAATTTCCAACTGGATACAATTGAAAAGAAAGATTCCTCTCACTGGATTACTTAACAAAAAATTTTGGAATCTTGACTTACTCAACAGTTGAATCTGCAAATTTGACTTAAAAAAACAATCAAATGTGGGACCCTGACTTACTAACTGATCAAATGTGGGACCCTGACTTACTAACTGATCAAATGTGGGACCCTGACTTACTAACTGATCAAATGTGGGACCCTGACTTACTAACTGATCAAATGTGGGACCCTGACTTACTAACTGATCAAATGTGGGATCCTGACTTACTAAGTGATCAAATGTGGGACCCTGACTTACTAACTGATCAAATGTGGGACCCTGACTTACTAACTGATCAAATGTGGGACCCTGACTTACTAACTGATCAAATGTGGGATCCCAACTTACTAACTGATCAAATGTGGGACCCTGACTTACTAACTGATCAAATGTGGGACCCTGACTTACTAACTGATCTAATGTGGGACCCTGACTTACTAACTGATCAAATGTGGGACCCTGACTTACTAACTGATCAAATCTAAGAACCTGCTGTGTATCTGTATAGATCCAAATTAATACTTCCATGACAAACATCTGACAAATGCAAGGACAAATTGGACAAATGACTTCAGCACTATAAATAAACTGACAAATCCGTTATATGTGTGTTTTGTAGGGATGTAGCTATGGTCTGGCCATGCCTCCCAGCAAGGGATGGCTGACAGGCCAAGTGTTTCTTGGGTTGGTAATGTAGGCATGACCTGACCATGCCTCTAAGGACAGGATCAGTGATGGGCCGACTGTCGATAGGGTTGGCGATGTAGGCATGACGTAGCCACGCCTCTCAGGATGAGATGAGTGATGGGCCAACTGTCTGTAGAGTTGGTGATGTTGGTATGACGTAGCCACGCCTCTCAGCATGAGATGAGTGATGGGTCAACTGTCTGTAGATTTACAATGTAGTTATGGTCTGGCCACACCTCTCAGCATGGGATGAGTTACAGGCCAACTATCAGGTTTACAATCCTTGGCTGCAGCCTCTTCAGCACTAAGTACCTGGGGGACATGGATAGGCATCTGTACTCCTGATACATTCAGTAACTTCATCTCCAGGGGACCAAGCTTTAGGTAGTCCTACAACATACCAATTTTAAAAGCATCCTTTTTCCTGAGTAAAATTGAGTTAAAAATAAACAGAAGTAAACTGGAACAATCAAAATTCTTCTATGAATGTACAAACCATCAAAACTTTATGAATTAATATAATATCATGAGAGTACTTACTGAAAAGTCTTCTTCTTCAAAATACATGTTATCTAGGAGCTCTGTGTCAACACTCTCATCTGAAACATAAACAGATATATGTATACCTAATAACTACTTCTACCGTACTCGAACTACCATGGAAACAGTTACCGTGAATACAGTCATAATATAGTTACCATGGATACAGTCTATAAATGGTAATATAGTCTATGAATGGTAATACAGTCTATGATTGGTCAGTCTATGAATGGTAATACAGCCTATGAATGGTCTATGAATGGTAATACAGACTAAGAATGGTCTATGAATGGTAATACAGTCTATAAATGGTAATACAGTCTATGAATGGTCTATGAATGGTAATACAGACTAAGAATGGTCTATGAATGGTAATACAGTCTATAAATGGTAATACAGCCTATGAATGGTCTATGAATGGTAATACAGACTAAGAATGGTCTATGAATGGTAATACAGTCTATAAATGGTAATACAGCCTATGAATGGTCTATGAATGGTAATACAGTCTATGAATGGTAATACAGTCTATGAATGGTAATACAGTCTATGAATGGTCTATGAATGGTAATACAGTCTATGAATGGTAATACAGTCTATGAATGGTAATACAGTCTATGAATGATAATACAGTCTATGAATGGTAATACAGCCTATGAATGGTCTATGAATGGTAATACAGTCGATGAATGGTCTATGAATGGTAATACAGTCTATGAATGGTAATACAGTCTATGAATGGTAATACAGTCTATGAATGGTCTATGAATGGTAATACAGTCGATGAATGGTCTATGAATGGTAATACAGTCTATGAATGATAATACAGTCTATGAATGGTAATACAGTCTATGAATGGTAATACAGTCTATGAATGGTCTATGAATGGTAATACAGTCTATGAATGGTAATACAGTCTATGAATGGTCTATGAATGGTAATACAGTCTATGAATGGTAATACAGTCTATGAATGGTAATACAGTCTATGAATGATAATACAGTCTATGAATGGTAATATAGTCTATGAATGGTAATACAGTCTATGAATGATAATACAGTCTATGAATGGTCTATGAATGGTAATACAGTCTATGAATGGTAATACAGTCTATGAATGGTCTATGAATGGTAATACAGTCTATGAATGGTAATACAGTCTATGAATGGTCTATGAATGGTAATACAGTCTATGAATGGTAATACAGTCTATGAATGGTCTATGAATGGTAATACAGTCTATGAATGGTAATACAGTCTATGAATGGTAATACAGTCTATGAATGGTAATACAGTCTATGAATGGTAATACAGTCTATGAATGGTAATACAGTCTATGAATGGTAATATAGTCTATGAATGGTAATACAGTCTATGAATGGTAATACAGTCTATGAATGGTAATACAGTCTATGAATGGTATTACAGTCTTTGACTGGTATTAATGTCTCTGATTGGTATTACAGTCTATGAATGGTAATACAGTCTATGAATGGTAATACAGTCTATGAATGGTAATACAGTCTATGAATGGTAATACAGTCTATGAATGGTCTATGAATGGTAATACAGTCTATGAATGGTAATACAGTCTATGAATGGTCTATGAATGGTAATACAGTCTATGAATGGTAATACAGTCGATGAATAGTAATACAGTCTATGAATGGTAAGACAGTCTATGAAGGGTAATACAGTCTATGAATGGTAATACAGTCTATGAATGGTAATACAGTCTATGAAGGGTAATACAGTCTATGAATGGTAATACAGTCGATGAATGGTAATACAGTCTATGAATGGTAATACAGTCTATGAATGGTAATACAGTCTATGAATGGTAATACAGTCTATGAATGGTCTATGAATGGTAATACAGTCTATGAATGGTAATACAGCCTATATGTCTGTCTTGAAACTATAATTCTCTTACCATCCTCTGAGGAACTGTCCCCATCATGTTCTATGAAGGGTGGGGCAGCCATTGAAAAGACTTTCTTTTCCACTGCCCTCTGTGTGGCACTGCCAGCTCGAGCTGTAATCAAACAAAAAAACAGTGGTGCATAATGTTCCAGTGTAATTATCATGTACTGAGATTTACAATGTATAGATCTAATGACGTATAATTCTCCTGTATATCTACAATGTATAGATCTAATGGTGTATAATTCTCCTGTATATCTACAATGTATAGAGATCTAATGGTGTATAATTCTCCTGCATATCTACAATGTATATATCTAATGGTGTATAATTCTCCTGTATATCTACAATGTATAGATCTAATGGAGTATAATTCTCCTGTATATCTACAATGTATAGATCTAATGGTGTATAATTCTCCTGTATATCTACAATGTATAGAGATCTAATGGTGTATAATTCTCCTGTATATCTACAATGTATAGATCTAATGGTGTATAATTCTCCTGTATATCTACAATGTATAGATATAATGGTGTATAATTCTCCTGTATATCTACAATGTATAGATCTAATGGTGTAGAATATTTCAGTATATCTCAATTGATATAAAATGAGTCATCTTCCCCCAAGGATGTTTCTGACCTAATTTTTGTTAAAATCTTGTTAGTCATTCATAACTAGTAATTATTGTCAGAAATGTTGATGAACAATCCGCATTACCTGAGATTGTCTCCTCGGCCTCCTTGATGGCAAGGATTGAAGTGTCTGTACTTGTGTCATTTATAGAAATTTGTGCCAGATCCATCTCCAGAATACCAGTATTGTCCAGGTTCTCCCCACCTTCCTCAAACTGAGTCAGGAAGAAGTTTCTAGCAGAAGACAATAGGTTGTTTACTTATCAATTTACTTCTATTACTTTACATGTACCAGGTAAACCAGTTCACCCCTCATTCAGATTACATTAACTAAACAATTCCATCCACAACCAAAACTATTTCTCTTTGTAAAGTCTCCATTATTGCTATTTTTAACATAAACTATGGACATCCAAGCAGCTAGAATTGGTCGATATTTTGACATACTTATATTTCCCCATAGAAACATTACCAATCTGTAGACAAAATATTTTCTAAAAAAGAAAGTATTGAGTACATATGTTTATTGTAGTGGTTTAAATGGAAATGGCAATTAAAGCACCTTAAGATGCTTCCATTCATGGTGAGCATTTGATTCTACCATATCTGGGTGTTGAGAAGAAGATTTTTGAAATCTGAGTCAATTTGACCCCTATTCGCCCCCACCCCTCAGGCCCCTGTAGGGTAGGGACTGTATATTTCATGATTTGGTTCATCTTAGGCCGGGGAAGGTTTCTGCAAAATTTCATTGAAATTGAATCAGGAGTTTCTGAGAAGATGTAAAAAACATGTTAACTTGTTTACGGATGCACAGCACACTACGCTGGATGAAGGTGATCTCAAAAGGTCACCATGAGGCTTTGTCTCCAGTGACTTGAAAATCCTTTTATATAAACCTTACTTGTGATGAATATCCTTTAACCTTTAATGTCATCAACACTGTTAACTGATTCAACCTTTCTGTCATAGTAAACTTTAACCTCAACATCAATGTTGACCTTCAGATACAACCTTGAACTATTTTGTAATTATCACTGACCTTGACACCTTCAGATCCTCTATTTTGCACTCAAATAAGTCGGCCATCACCAGGAGGTTGGCCTTCTCTAAGTCCTCCACTTCCTTTCTAAGCTCTGCAGACTCTGCCTTGTGGATCTCGACCTGTTTTTTTTTTACCAAAGATGAAAAATAAAATTCATCATGTTGTATATGAGTGTTATCAGACTGAGAGAAGGACAACAAATTGAAGCTGTATTACACTGTTTATATAAGTGACATCAGTGAGTGATATTAATGGTTATCACACTATATATCCTCTAAATCACAATCAATCCTAGGATTAAATGATAAAATGAACTTTAACCTCTCGTCGGAGCCAATCATTGTCAAGAACCTCTTGCCGACTGTACTTGTCTAGCTGACCTATGGCTTTCTGAAAAACAAAAACATGATATTGAGATAGAAGTTTTTTATTTAAGTATAGGATCTGTCTCCATGGTAACTGGTCACTCCTCAACAACCTGGTTAAGTTCTGTTTGTCTCATTCAGTAAAACATCAGACAAGTTATCAACAGTAAATACAGAATCAAATGTGAAATCATATGTCACAGACGGATAATGGATAAATTTATGGAGGAACTAATTCTAGACAATGAATATATGACAGATTATTAGTATGAATCATCAATACAAACAATTACTAGTGTTTATACACCAGTACAAACCTCTCAAACTAAATATGTCTGTATAAACTCACACACAGGACACCAGTACAAACCTCTCAAGCTAAATATGTCTGTATAAACTCACACACAGGACACCAGTACAAACCTCTCAAGCTAAGTATGTCTGTATAAACTCACACACAGGACACCAGTACAAACCTCTCAAACTAAATATGTCTGTATAAACTCACACACAGGACACCAGTACAAACCTCTCAAACTAAATATGTCTGTATAAACTCACACACAGGACACCAGTACAAACCTCTCAAACTAAATATGTCTGTATAAACTCACACACAGGACACCAGTACAAACCTCTCAAACTAAATATGTCTGTATAAACTCACACACAGGACACCAGTACAAACCTCTCAAACTAAATATGTCTGTATAAACTCACACACAGGACACCAGTACAAACCTCTCAAACTAAATATGTCTGTATAAACTCACACACAGGACACCAGTACAAACCTCTCAAACTAAATATGTCTGTATAAACTCACACACAGGACACCAGTACAAACCTCTCAAACTAAATATGTCTGTATAAACTCACACACAGGACACCAGTACAAACCTCTCAAACTAAATATGTCTGTATAAACTCACACACAGGACACCAGTACAAACCTCTCAAACTAAATATGTCTGTATAAACTCACACACAGGACACCAGTACAAACCTCTCAAACTAAGTATGTCTGTATAAACTCACACACAGGACACCAGTACAAACCTCTCAAACTAAATATGTCTGTATAAACTCACACACAGGACACCAGTACAAACCTCTCAAACTAAATATGTCTGTATAAACTCACACACAGGACACCAGTACAAACCTCTCAAACTAAATATGTCTGTATAAACTCACACACAGGACACCAGTACAAACCTCTCAAACTAAATATGTCTGTATAAACTCACACACAGGACACCAGTACAAACCTCTCAACACAGGACACACAAACCTCTCAAACTAAGTATGTCTGTATAAACTCACACACAGGACACCAGTACAAACCTCTCAAACTAAACATTTCTGTATAAACTCACACACAGGACACCAGTACAAACCTCTCAAGCTAAACATGTAAATAAACTCACACACAGTCTGTAAACTCACACACAGGACACCAGTACAAACCTCTCAAACTAAATATGTCTGTATAAACTCACACACAGGACACCAGTACAAACCTCTCAAACTAAATATGTCTGTATAAACTCACACACACACACAGGACACCAGTACAAACCTCTCAAACTAAATATGTCTGTATAAACTCACACACAGGACACCAGTACAAACCTCTCAAACTAAATATGTCTGTATAAACTCACACACAGGACACCAGTACAAACCTCTCAAACTAAATATGTCTGTATAAACTCACACACAGGACACCAGTACAAACCTCTCAAACTAAGAAATTCTGTATAAACTCACAGAGAGGAAAACAAAACAAACCTCAAAAACTAACAATGTGTAAAAACACTCACACACAGGACACCAGTACAAACCTCTCAAACTAAATATGTCTGTATAAACTCACACACAGGACACCAGTACAAACCTCTCAAACTAAATATGTCTGTATAAACTCACACACAGGACACCAGTACAAACCTCTCAAACTAAATATGTCTGTATAAACTCACACACAGGACACCAGTACAAACCTCTCAAACTAAATATGTCTGTATAAACTCACACACAGGACACCAGTACAAACCTCTCAATCTAAATATGTCTGTATAAACTCACACACAGGACACCAGTACAAACCTCTCAAACTAAATATTTCTGTATAAACTCACACACAGGACACCAGTACAAACCTCTCAAACTAAATATGTCTGTATAAACTCACACACAGGACACCAGTACAAACCTCTCAAGCTAAATATGTCTGTATAAACTCACACACAGGACACCAGTACAAACCTCTCAAACTAAATATGTCTGTATAAACTCACACACAGGACACCAGTACAAACCTCTCAAACTGAATATTTCTGTATAAACTCACACACAGGACACCAGTACAAACCTCTCAAGCTAAATATTTCTGTATAAACTCACACACAGGACACCAGTACAAACCTCTCAAACTAAATATTTCTGTATAAACTCACACACAGGACACCAGTACAAACCTCTCAAACTAAATATTTCTGTATAAACTCACACACAGGACACCAGTACAAACCTCTCAAACTAAATATGTCTGTATAAACTCACACACAGGACACCAGTACAAACCTCTCAAACTAAATATTTCTGTATAAACTCACACACAGGACACCAGTACAAACCTCTCAAACTAAATATGTCTGTATAAACTCACACACAGGACACCAGTACAAACCTCTCAAACTAAATATTTCTGTATAAACTCACACACAGGACACCAGTACAAACCTCTCAAACTAAAAAATTCTGTATAAACTCACACACAGGACACCAGTACAAACCTCTCAAACTAAACACTTCTGTATAAACTCACACACAGGACACCAGTACAAACCTCTCAAGCTAAACACTTCTGTATAAACTCACACACAGGACACCAGTACAAACCTCTCAAGCTAAATATGTCTGTATAAACTCACACACAGGACACCAGTACAAACCTCTCAAACTAAATATGTCTGTATAAACTCACACACAGGACACCAGTACAAACCTCTCAAACTAAATATTTCTGTATAAACTCACACACAGGACACCAGTACAAACCTCTCAAACTAAATATTTCTGTATAAACTCATACACAGGACACCATTACAAACCTCTCAAACTAAGTATGTCTGTATAAACTCACACACAGGACACCAGTACAAACCTCTCAAACTAAATATTTCTGTATAAACTCACACACAGGACACCAGTACAAACCTCTCAAACTAAACACTTCTGTATAAACTCACACACAGGACACCAGTACAAACCTCTCAAGCTAAACACTTCTGTATAAACTCACACACAGGACACCAGTACAAACCTCTCAAACTAAGTATGTCTGTATAAACTCACACACAGGACACCAGTACAAACCTCTCAAACTAAGTATGTCTGTATAAACTCACACACAGGACACCAGTACAAACCTCTCAAGCTAAATATGTCTGTATAAACTCACACACAGGACACCAGTAAAAACCTCTCAAGCTAAATAGTTCATATAAACTCACACACAGGACTCAAACTAAATATGTCTGTATAAACTCACACACAGGACACCAGTACAAACCTCTCAAGCTAAGTATGTCTGTATAAACTCACACACAGGACACCAGTACAAACCTCTCAAGCTAAACACTTCTGTATAAACTCATACACAGGACACCAGTACAAACCTCTCAAGCTAAATATGTCTGTATAAACTCACACACAGGACACCAGTACAAACCTCTCAAACTAAATATGTCTGTATAAACTCACACACAGGACACCAGTACAAACCTCTCAAACTAAATATGTCTGTATAAACTCACACACAGGACACCAGTACAAACCTCTCAAACTAACACAGTATGTCTGTATAAACTCACACACAGGACACCAGTACAAACCTCTCAAACTAAATATTTCTGTATAAACTCACACACAGGACACCAGTACAAACCTCTCAAACTAAGTATGTCTGTATAAACTCACACACAGGACACCAGTACAAACCTCTCAAACTAAATATTTCTGTATAAACTCACACACAGGACACCAGTACAAACCTCTCAAACTAAGTATGTCTGTATAAACTCACACACAGGACACCAGTACAAACCTCTCAAGCTAAATATGTCTGTATAAACTCACACACAGGACACCAGTACAAACCTCTCAAACTAAATATGTCTGTATAAACTCACACACAGGACACCAGTACAAACCTCTCAAACTAAATATTTCTGTATAAACTCACACACAGGACACCAGTACAAACCTCTCAAACTAAATATGTCTGTATAAACTCACACACAGGACACCAGTACAAACCTCTCAAGCTGAATATTTCTGTATAAACTCACACACAGGACACCAGTACAAACCTCTCAAACTAAATATGTCTGTATAAACTCACACACAGGACACCAGTACAAACCTCTCAAACTAAATATGTCTGTATAAACTCACACACAGGACACCAGTACAAACCTCTCAAACTAAGTATGTCTGTATAAACTCACACACAGGACACCAGTACAAACCTCTCAAACTAAATATGTCTGTATAAACTCACACACAGGACACCAGTACAAACCTCTCAAACTAAATATTTCTGTATAAACTCATACACAGGACACCAGTACAAACCTCTGAAGCTAAATATTTCTGTTTGTCCACCGTTTCCTCGGTATGCTGGTTGATTTCTGCTGTTGCTTTTTCTTGTGAACGTTCCAAATGATCTTTAGCAAAGAAAATAAGATTCAAGTTTGTTAGATATTCAAACAAAGACAAATAACAGGAGCTAATTTGAACCGAATAAATCTTCATTTTTTTGTTGTTGACAAACTGTCATTGCATCTTTCTTACTTTTCATATCACCAAAGCTGATCTCCATGTCAACTAGTTCATCCTTTAGAAGTTGGATCTGTTTCTTCTGCTCCATGTCACCTTTATCACGGAATGCCAGCCATAACTCCACCTCCTTCTCCTCTCGGCTTATCTTCCCTTCCGTCTCAGCAATTCGCTTCTTCAGCTCTGTTACACAGATAATGTACACCAGAACAATAATCAAAATATTGATGTGTTGTTGTAGAATTAAATCAACTGTGACAGTATGACTTCATCATAACTACATGATTAAGATGTTTCTTTAAATTATATAAAAATATCTGTCATGACACTGATTTCTGTTGGTCTGTCATGACACTGATTTCTGTTGGTCTGTCATGATACTGGTGATTTCTGTTGGTCTGTCATGATACTGGTGATTTCTGTTGGTCTGTCATGATACTGGTGATTTCTGTAGGTCTGTCATGATACTGGTGATTTCTGTTGGTCTGTCATGACACTGGTGATTTCTGTTGGTCTGTCATGATACTGGTGATTTCTGTTGGTCTGTCATGATACTGGTGATTTCTGTTGGTCTGTCATGATACTGGTGATTTCAGTTGACCAGACAGACCTACCTGTCAGTTCGTTTTCCTTTTGGCGTTGTCGTCCCCATTTGTCTTTCATTGTCATTATGACATCATCACGGGTTTTTACTTCTTCATTTTCAAAATATTTTTCTACCTCTTTGGCCTGCTTCAGCAAATGTTTGATCAGAAGTTCTTGCTCAGAAAGGAGCTTCTCATTCTGAAACATTCAAACCCACCACAATGACAGTTAACGTTGTCATTTTTAGAAACCTTTAGTATTTCACTGATCTAGTACTACTTTAGTTACTTTCCCCAAGTTTCAGTACTAACAACAACAAACATTACACAACAAACAATACACAACAACAAACATTATACAACAACAAACAATACACAACAAACAATACACAACAACAAACATTACACAACAACAAACATTACACAACAACAAACATTACACAACAACAAACATTACACAACAACAAACATTACACAACAACAAACATTACACAACAAACAATACACAACAACAAACATTACACAACAAACAATACACAACAACAAACATTACACAACAACAAACATTACACAACAAACAATACACAACAACAAACATTACACAACAACAAACATTACACAACAACAAACATTATACAACAACAAACATTACACAACAACAAACATTATACAACAACAAACATTACACAACAACAAACAATACACAACAAACAATACACAACAACAAACATTACACAACAACAAACAATACACAACAAACAATACACAACAACAAACATTACACAACAAACAATACACAACAACAAACATTACATAACAACAAACATTACACAACAACAAACATTACACAACAAACAATACACAACAACAAACATTACACAACAAACAATACACAACAACAAACATTTCACAACACCAAATATTACACAACAACAAACATTACACAACAACAAACATTACACAACAAACAATACGCAACAACAAACAATACACAACAACAAACATTCCACAACAACAAACATTACACAACAACAAACATTACACAACAAACATTACACAACAAACAATACACAACAACAAACATTACACAACAAACAATACACAACAACAAACATTACACAACACCAAACATTACACAACAAACAATACACAACAACAACCCATACACCACAACAAACATTATACAACAACAAACATTACACAACAAACAATACACAACAACAAACATTACACAACAAACAATACACAACAACAAACATTACACAACAACAAACAATACACAACAAACAATACACAACAACAAACATTACACAACAACAAACATTATACAACAACAAACATTACACAACAACAAACATTATACAACAACAAACATTACACAACAACAAACATTACACAACAAACAATACACAACAACAAACATTACACAACAACAAACATTACACAACAAACAATACGCAACAACAAACATTACACAACAAACAATACACAACAACAAACATTACATAACAACAAACATTACACAACAACAAACATTACACAACAAACATTACACAACAACAAACATTACACAACAACTAATTTTACACAACAACAAACATTTCACAAAAACTACAAAACTAAACAGCTGCAAAGTTTACTGAAATATTATCAGACTCCTTGCTGTTGTTGTTTTCTCCTTTTTTTCTGTTTTATCGTTTTGGTATGAGGCATGTCCTTTTTCTGATAACTAGTCACTAACAGCTCAGGTTGTTATGTTTGATTATCAACATTATGATGCTTGGTACATACATTGTTTTACATTGAATAAATTAACTAATCTTACCCTTTCTTCATGGCGGTGATTTTTATCTTCCCATCCTCTTGACTCAAACATGACATCCTCCAATTTTTTCTCTACGATTCCAATTCTAGAAACAAATACAAAGTATATATAGGGTCTTACATTAGTTTCTATTTGGAAAATGAATTTATGAAACCAGTCTAGGAATTTTACATTGTAGTATAACTAGCTTTGACAAGCTCAAATGAAAAATTGTGACGAGTTTCATAAATCACATATCAAACGTACAGGAACTTAAGATTTTTTACCACATGATCGATTATTCAGGCAAATATGGTAGAAAACCATTCCACATCAAATGAAGTCATGACTCATCTATGATCTCCACTATAACATCACACTGCAATTTGTGTGAATGTGTGACATGATTTCATTACCGTATTTAAAGTGATGTCGCAATAAGCTATATTACACATGTTTAATATGGAAAAATATATTATGGGTATATTTACTGAATAGCAAGGCAACCATGTGATAAATAGTTCTATAAATGTGCATCTAATTTAAACTAATCTATTCTGGCAGTGCTAACAGTCATCATTTTATTGTCACAAATCATTGGTCTCAATTTTATATTATTATTATTATTATTATTATTATTATTATTGACATTCTTAACGGCCTGTCAACACATAACCTTCATCAGACAAATGAACAGTGTGGAGAATACTAGCACTGATGTGCGTAATGTGCAGGGTGGTAAGGAACCAACCAACTTTTTGGTTGTACTATAATCCTATGTAAACTAAGACAATTAACAGCTTCCTAGTAAAGAAAGATAACAATACTATCAAAGTATTGGTTTACAAGAAAAAGATGCACACAGACCAATATCTCAAATCTGATCGCACCATCCCTTACACCAAAAGTTGGGCATTATATGAACCTCAACAGATGTGAAACGATTGTCACAGAAGAGCAAGACAAGAAGCAAGAACAAAATCATATCCACAGCGCCATGACAACATGTGGATACTCTGAACGGGCAAGCCAGAGAGTTAACAATGAATATGATGTAAGCAAAAAGACTGAGACAAAACAGCAAGGAAAAGAACAAAATGAAAGGACAAGTTGTTATCCCTTACATCAAAGGTTTACCAAAAACAATTCAGAGGATCTACTGTGGTCATAGAATTACAACAGTCATGAAACCTTACAAGACTCTCCCAAATATCCTAGTTCATTCTAAGAGTAAAACACCCAAAGAGAATATTGCAGAAAGTGTATATAAAATCACATGCTAGAACTGTGATGCACCATATATTGCAGGAACAGGCAGGAAATTTGGGGTCCGACTCAATGAACTTCAGAACTACGCGGAATACCAAGAAGGCAAAAAATTCACTAGATCACAGTGAAAAACATTCACAGTCCCAGATCAATAAATCTGCATTTACAGATCATTCCACACAGCAAAATCGTATCATTGACTGGGAAAATTCCAAAATATTTGACAGGAAAAATTACTTTTCAGGCGGTTGGTTAAGGAAGCTATCTGGAAATGCTGCAGCGGGCCAGTACTTAACAGGGATGAGGAGGGCCATAGACTCTTGCACTGCTATGACCAAGTGTTTAACAAAGCACAGCCAAATTGACAACAGTACATTGTTGACATGTGCAAACATATGCGTATAGGAACACATACAGATATGGCTATATACCATCTAAATGGAAATCAACTTCAGACAACATCGAAGGAGAAAGATATTGGAGTTATTTTTGAGTCTGACTTGAGTTTTGAAAATCATATCAGTGAGAAAGTGAAAAAAGCTAACTCAATGTTTGGGATGCTAAGAAGAACTTTCCAGTTTATGGACATCAAATTATTCATTCTATTATATAAATCGCTTGTTAGATCCCAGCTAGACTACGCAAGTGCAGTATGGTATCCCTACAAATATAAATATATAGATCTTATTGAAAATGTTCAAAGAAGAGCAACGCGGTGCCTACCTGAATTACGGAATTTATCATATGAAGAAAGATTAAAAACACTAAAACTGCCTACCTTGGCCTATAGACGCTTGCGAGGTGACATGATCGAGATATATAAAATGATCAGCGGAGTGTACGACGAAGAGTGCTGTACATGCATAAAGTTATGGGAGAACATGTCCGATAAACACAGTGTTAGAGTAAAACTCAAAAAAACTTTTTCCACAAAGAGCTAAATCTAAACTAAGAAGTAATTACTTTTCTGTGAGAGCAGCACGCATTTGGAACACATTACCAGAAACTGTTGTATCTGCCTCAAACACGAACTGTTTCAAAAATAGGCTTGATAAGTTATGGGAAAACCAAGATATCATTTTTAATTATAGAGCTGATATATCAATAAAGACTGTCTTAATAGTAATTCTACGGAACTAAAAGCTGGACATATTATTTTGATTTGTACATACTATATTTATTATATGAAATATCATGTATATATATTGTATGTTTTTTGAGACCAGAGTAGAGGATAGGTATATCCTGTTCTGGTAATAAACTTAACTTAACTTAACTTAACTTAACTTAACTTAACTTAACTTTGACATCTGGTGTATTTTTGGTCTATAATCTGTTTACCATCTCATCACACTACTTTCATCCTTAGTGTACATAGAATTATAATACAGCTACCAAATTCTCAACAGATGCTTTTTTTTATAAATCGGAAAAAAACCAAATTAATACTTAGATACAATAGAGCAAACTATTGAACAAGACTGTATCATACATAGGATTCATCCTTCTAGGAGTTGTCAACGATGCTCTACATTATATTGTTAGAATTGTATGATAACTAATTTTAGTTCAAATGTAACAAAAACACTATTTACTGGTATGCTAAAATTGCCTCCTTTGCTGTCATTTGGGGTTCCTTCTTCTTTCCTCCCTTCTTTCCTCCTCCCTTTCCCTTTTTGCCTTTCTTCTTTCCCATTTTGTGTGTTTTAAGATTTTTTCTGAAGGTATTTATATCACCTTAAAACTGAAAAAAAAATAGAAAAAATAAAATGGTGATTATCACATCATATCTACAAAGATAATAAATCAATTTTTTCTGTGGATCCCATTGCAATGAAACTTTTCTGACTTTATGGATTGTTAGCCTCTATGTATTTAGTTCCTTTAAATTTCTTTTTTTTTTTTTTAATTCAGTAAGCATTTTTGATAGAACAAGGAATGATGAAGAAATTCCTACCCAAGTTGACAAGAATCAAACTTAAGTCTCCAGTGTGACAACGCAAGCCTCTGTAATAAGAAGGAGTAATAAAAAATGCCCTGCAATCACCCCATTCCTATCCCTAAATCTGGGACTCTAACTAGCAACTTCAAGCTCACCAGTTAAATATTCTACCATATGACTACAGGGAAATCATTACTTCCTGTCATACAACTCAAAAGTAATCATTTAATCCAGATTTTCATCACAATAATACATCATTTTACCAGCTGTGCAAAACAAGCATGCTCTTTCATCTGATTGACCGAGACTGTATTTTAAATCTGTATAAGCCATGCTAACCCAATCCTTTTGTGAAGGAGTAACGGAAAACACTGCTGGGTTTGAACTAGCAATCCTTCCATCTCTAGTTGGACATGCTACCACTTGACATCAAGGAGATTCCTACTAACCAAGGTTATTAAGATGACCTGTACTGTCCACTTCTATACTATTCCCTCCTTCACAAAGTCTTTAACCCCGAAGACAACAACAACCCATGTTTGATATCTCTAAGTAAGCATTTCAATTTCACATAGCTTCTACCCCTGGAGTAGTCAATGGCATAAATCTGAAATATCAATTAAGGAGTAATGAAAAACACCCTGCCACTCCTGTGGTTTGAACTAGCGATCCTCTTGTCTCTAGTCGGACACTTTACCCGTTGAAAAAAGGAAATACCCACTAACCGCTACTAGAAAGGCAACCTGTTCTCGCTACTACTACACTTTTATACATAAACATGACACCTTTAGAACCATTTTGAAACATTTGTATCTTCATTCTGAGTCAACTGTAAAGATAGTGTTACTCTAAATGTGTTGTACGAAACAATCTCCGAATTATCTGTATACATACACCAATAAATGCCTTTTACCAGAACAAGCATAAAACTGTGCTGTGTCAAAATATAAACTTGACAGTCAGACCTTTAAATATATTTCTAACAGCATTCGTTATTTTAAATAAAGTGCAGTATACCTGATATATATATTATTTCCTTGTTCACCTCGTAAAATGGAACGTGGGGCGATTTATATGATGGATTACCTAATTTTTCACCCACAAACTAAACACCGTAGATGCTCGTCCACCATATTTGTTTTGAGTAGCAACAAGCGCCTCACTTTAGTTTCGTATGATTTTGGGATTTCTTTATGAAGACGAACGTGTGAAAAATGTAGATTCATACCAATATTGCCTATGATTTCTTGCAAACGAAATATATTACTGCCTATTTAACTATATCACTAAATTAGCTATTTTACGAAAATAAATCAAATAACTCACAAAACCAACATCGGACCACCTGTTCCGGTTTCGGATCGTACCGACGTCAACAAAATCTTAGCTGATAATCAGTGAAATGAGGTCAAAATAGAGAAAAATATTTGCTCATTTACCATTTAAAGATTACAAACGAGGAATAAGACCCGGTGTTCAAGAAGGATCTACATGTGCGATATTATGAACAGATCCTTGGAGTATCAAATCATTGTTGCGATACGTAAACCCAACTGGTTTGGGAAAGAAGAATGTTACTATGTAGAATTGGAAAATACACACAAGGAAATCCAAATCAGTATGTGTACTGATGAAAGAAACCTGCTCTTGCAGAAAAGATCGAGATTACCAAGTTCGATTTGGCGGGAAATATAATGATTAAATAAAAACTGTTTCTTCTTTTTCGTCACATGTTAGCACTCAACGCCACAATTTTGAGAGACACAATCATTTCTTCGCATACATTTATCTTTCTTATGTACATTATCCAACAATGGTTTGACAGGTCTCAATTTCTAACGGGCGAACTGTATATATTACAAAATAATGGTATTGTTATTTTTAATATTTTGCAGTAAAAACAATCCAGTTGCGTATGATAGTATTGTGTGCTATGGTTATATGTCTCTGGGTATGTTAATTATAACGCAATGAAATAGCGACATGACACAGCACAAAGCAAACTTTAGGTTTGTTTGGGCATTGATTTAATTTATGAAAAATGTTTTTGGCATTGATTTAATTTATGAAAAATGTCTGTTGTTTTTCTTGAAACCCAAAAATGCTGTAATCGTTTTAAAATCGTAACCTTATAGTACATTAAGTTTGATTACATAAAAATTCTGGTTAGAATATAAAACACTGTTAACTCTCCCCTACTTGCACAAGCCTGTGTCGTAGATATAGGATATGCCTGTTAAACCCCAGAAAGGTACGGCATTATGATTCATACTCAGACTGGTTTTATATAAACATACTATAGACCCGCCCAAACTAGCACGAAGGGTTCTGAAAGTTAAAATTGCTGACATGAGGGTTTCGGTACACAGAAATATTGGTGTTATTTCATGAAACAGACTATAGCCAAAGATTGAAGTCGATCTGACAAGTCACATGACCAGGCGCCATTTTGGAAGTCATTTATAGAGATGAGGATTTGACAACTTGGAATCTCAAAGTAGGATCGCAATGGGTGAGTATTGATGAAACAAATTACGTGTGTGCATCATAACAACGATGTGAAACTACCATTTAAGTGATAAAAATGTCTCTGGGTGTATATACACCGTACAGGTACACACGTTTCCCGTGTGGTGACCCGCTGACCTGTCGGTGTTGACACAGATTTCAAGACACTTCCGTAGGAGTTTGCAAATTATCGAATTACCTGTACATCTAATAACATGAGAATGATAGAGAACTGACTAGAGAAATTGACTCATGTTAATAAAAAGTCTGCATTTTATTCAGTGTTGTCCTCTTAAACAAGGTAACATAACATTACAACAATCATGACTCATGCGGAAAGTCTTTTTAAACATCTCGAGGGCGGTAGGACTTTCATGTTTTGACAGGAAGTTATTCAGGGAAGTTTCTAAGATACATCGAACAGTTGACCGTAAATGGGTGAATAATCATACAATATTATATACATATAAATGAAGCCATTAGATTTAACAGCTCTATGTAAGAGAACGTCACTCCGTGACTCTAAGCGAACACTCCGAACCTGACAGCCTTATGATGGATGGAGAGGTGTGTGAACCATGTGTATTCCCATGGCATCGAATTCATGATGTCAGAATCTCATTGAATATTACTCGTCTTTCAGTTTATACATTCTTGGCAAATTATTATTGTGAAATAAAACAAAATACATGTCAAGAAAATAGGTGATGTGATTTTGTTCAAAGAGGAAAGAAAAAGTGAGAAATAAAGGTTAAAAATCCCGGTATCCTATGTTAAACAGAAGGACAGCTCTGTTATTATTATTATTATGTTTATTCAGGCAAAGGCATAATAAAATTACACATTACAAATATCACATTACATAAGCAATTCAATAACAATTAAAATCAGTAATAAATTATTGTGGATTTCTTAAAATTTATTAATTATGAAATATGAAATATTACAGAAGAATTTCACATACCTTAAAATATCACAGTTTAAACTAGTATCGCAGAAATTAAATTACACTGTGCTTGCAAATCTTCTAAGTAAAATAGTTGAAAATTTTAGAAATATCAATAAAAAAGAGAGAAATTTGATAAAACCAGATGAAAATGCCTTTGGCCTTGGATTACCCATAAAGCCTATAAAATAGGCTTATTTCCAATGGGGTCCATTTAAGGTGTAATCATTCCGGTTGAGATGTAAAGCCATGGAAAATGAGATTGAATTAATATTCGCAGCATTAACTATAAATGAAACAGAGCACTACATTTGAATGAAAATTACATTTACATAGATATGAAAAACAAATACTGAAAGTGAATAAAATGTTTTGGCACATTTCAGGGCATTTATGAAAAAGGATGGGATTTGAAGAGATATTACATAATAATATAACATGAACAATATAACATAATATGAAAAATAATATAACATCACTACCCGTTCAACCAGACGCAAAGAAGTGGAGGTTGAGCTCAATAGTAGACGAAGGGGTTGTCAAATTCGCGTTTTGATTGTAGCATCAGAAATTGTTTTACTTTGTTTTTAAAATGATATTTATTTTTAGAATTTTTAATATTTTCTGGAAGGGAATTCCAATCTTTTGCGGCCGAAGTAGAAAAGGAAGAACTTTCTATGCTTTTAACGTTTTTTATTGAGAAGTTCATCGTTCCAGATCTAGTACCACAACAGTTCTTGGGTATTAAACTACCTATATACTTCTAAATGAAAATAATCACTCACTAGCCATTTAGGCTTATTGTTAAAAAAAACCCCAAAATAATATCATTATTATGGGTAACTAAGTCAGAAAATTCATGTCAGATTGGTGAGCAAGGTAATGTCTATCAAAGTTATATGTCAAAAAAAAGAACAAAACCTCATAAATGCCTGTCATTGTTTATTGGGCCTTCCCGTGGACCACTAGAGCATAAAACCCCTGAAAAATACATAAAAATAGCTCGATACATAAAATCTGATATTGTATTGTCATGGCTATAAGATAAAATCAGATATTGTATTGTATTGCTGTCCTAGCTATAAGTTTAGATCTGAGATTGTGCTGTCCTAGCTATAATATAAGATCTGTGATTGTGCTGTCATGCAGTGACATGCCATAAGTCGTTCACTTTTTTCATTTTACTGTATGTTCTTTGTATATATAACCTATACGATTAATTTTCTGTGATTGTGCTGTCCTAGCTATAAGTTTAGATATGAGATTGTGCTGTACTTGCTATAAGTTTAGATATGAGATTGTGCTGTCCTAGCTATAAGTTTAGATATGAGATTGTGCTGTACTTGCTATAAGTTTAGATATGAGATTGTGCTGTACTTGCTATAAGTTTAGATATGAGATTGTGCTGTACTTGCTATAAGTTTAGATATGAGATTGTGCTGTACTTGCTATAAGTTTAGATCTGAGATTGTGCTGCCCTAGCTATAAGTTTAGATATGAGATTGTGCTGCCCTAGCTATAAGTTTAGATATGAGATTGTGCTGTCGTAGCTATAAGTTTAGATATGAGATTGTGCTGTACTTGCTATAAGTTTAGATCTGAGATTGTGCTGTCCTAGCTATAAGTTTAGATATGAGATTGTGCTGTCCTAGCTATAAGTTTAGATCTGAGATTGTGCTGTCCTAGCTATAAGTTTAGATCTGAGATTGTGCTGTCCTAGCTATAAGTTTAGATCTGAGATTGTGCTGTCCTAGCTATAAGTGTAGATATGAGATTGTGATGTCCCAGCTATTAAGTTTAGATCTGAGATTGTGATGTCCCAGCTATAAGTTTAGATCTGAGATTGTGATGTCCCAGCTATTAAGTTTAGATCTGAGATTGTGATGTCCCAGCTATAAGTTTAGATCTGAGATTGTGCTGTCCTAGCTATAAGTTTAGATCTGAGATTGTGCTGTCCTAGCTATAAGTTTAGATATGAGATTGTGCTGCCCTAGCTATAAGTTTAGATATGAGATTGTGCTGTCCTAGCTATAAGTTTAGATATGAGATTGTGCTGTACTTGCTATAAGTTTAGATATGAGATTGTGCTGCCCTAGCTATAAGTTTAGATATGAGATTGTGCTGTACTAGCTATAAGTTTAGATATGAGATTGTGCTGTCCTAGCTATAAGTTTAGATCTGAGATTGTGCTGTCCTAGCTATAAGTGTAGATATGAGATTGTGATGTCCCAGCTATTAAGTTTAGATCTGAGATTGTGATGTCCCAGCTATAAGTTTAGATCTGAGATTGTGCTGTCCTAGCTATAAGTTTAGATCTGAGATTGTGCTGTCCTAGCTATAAGTTTAGATCTGAGATTGTGCTGTCCTAGCTATAAGTTTAGATCTGAGATTGTGCTGTCCTAGCTATAAGTTTAGATATGAGATTGTGCTGTCCTAGCTATAAGTTTAGATCTGAGATTGTGCTGTCCTAGCTATAAGTTTAGATATGAGATTGTGCTGTCCTAGCTATAAGTTTAAATCTGAGATTTTGCTGCCCTAGTTATAAGTTTAGATCTGAGATTGTGCTGCCCTAGTTATAAGTTTAGATATGAGATTGTGCTGTCCTAGCTATAAGTTTAGATATGAGATTGTGCTGTCCTAGCTATAAGTTTAGATCTGAGATTGTGCTGTCCTAGCTATAAGTTTAGATATGAGATTGTGCTGTCCTAGCTATAAGTTTAAATCTGAGATTTTGCTGCCCTAGTTATAAGTTTAGATCTGAGATTGTGCTGTCCTAGCTATAAGTTTAGATCTGAGATTGTGCTGTCCTAGCTATAAGTTTAAATCTTTGTATGTAAACTTGTGTTTTCCTCTTGGTGGCATTCCCAGTCTTGATAGATTCTGCACTGGTGGCATGGAACTCAGCTTATGGCATCAGTGTTTTGATAAAGCTCTCAGACTCCTTGCTCAATTTCTAGGTCATATGAAATGATCTCCAGCGAGAAACGAAAGTACATTGAAGAGGGCCAAAAAACGTTATTTTCTTGCGGTGTTTCTAGACCAACACTGGAACAGGACGAAACAATTATAATTGCCAAACAAGAAGAAAATAAAACCACGACAGCCAGAAAATTTCAGCAAAAATGGTTACAACAATTTAAATGGTTGATGTACTCTACTACTGTGACTGTCTTGTGCATAAAAATAAATGTTTATCGTTTGACTGTGGCCTGAATGTTTTTTGTGCTTTCGAACAAAATGGCCTTAGAAAATTTCAGTCTTTAGGACATCTGTCCTAAAGAAAGCTGGGCCAATCTGAATCACTGTTCAAGTCTAAGTACGTATTTTGTGTAATGTTTTAACAGCAATTCACGTAATTACTAAAACTGTTGTACCTACACCATCATTTTGTGTGCTTGTTATTCGTTTATTGCACAGAATACTTTTTAATATAAATAAATGTCGGTTTTTTTAAAATAATTTTATTAATGTTGAAAATAATTTCAGTGTTCAAATAATCTATTTTCATACATCACGATGATCGATTACAGATTTCTTAATCGATTAATTGATCAAACATCTCAAACAAGTGATACTCGATTAACTCGATTAATCGGAACAACACTAGTGAGGACACCAGTGACTCAGTAGCACCTGTATCTGTGAGGACACCAGTGACTCAGTAGCACCTGTATCTGTGAGGACACCAGTGACTCAGTAGCACCTGTATCTGTGAGGACACCAGTGACTCAGTAGCACCTGTATCTGTGAGGACACCAGTGACTCAGTAGCACCTGTATCTGTGAGGACACCAGTGACTCAGTAGCACCTGTATCTGTGAGGACACCAGTGACTCAGTAGCACCTGTATCTGTGAGGACACCAGTGACTCAGTAGCACCTGTATCTGTGAGGACACCAGTGACTCAGTAGCACCTGTATCTGTGAGGACACCAGTGACTCAGTAGCACCTGTATCTGTGAGGACACCAGTGACTCAGTAGCACCTGTATCTGTGAGAAACTTGGCATTGACTCCATTGATATCCAAGTGTACAATTACCCCTGACTCTGCACCACTGTATTCCTACACACATTACAGAAGCCTGGCATTTGAAGTTTCATCTTCAGCATTCTGAGCTAAAGTTGCTAGATATTTACAACATTTCCTTTTCATATGACCAGATTCTTTACAAAAGTAGCATTGTACTTTATACCATCCCTCTAATGGGTCATTGGAAGTGCTGCCTGATTTGTTTGCTCCTCCACTGTTTCTGTTATACCTTTAAGTCATGCTCATCTTTCTCCAGTTTTTTGATAGACTTCTCTAGAGACACAAGCATACTAGTTAAGTTCTCTAGAGCCTCATCTCTGTTACTGGTGTTATAATCTGGGTCCCAACTTCTTTCAGTGAGTCCCAGGCAAAAATGTAGGCTTCAGTAACATTACATGCTGGAAGGAAGAGCTACAAAATTTATTCAAATAAATGACCTTGATCCACATTCAAGGTCACAGAATAAGTTAGAGGTCAGATGTGTCATAATCTTTTAACAATATCTCATAAATAACCAAGAAATTGTGTAAGTATTTTTTCACCTGGAACATACTGTATAGTATACTATATACTGTATTGAAGTAATATGATATGTCAGATAAGTATGTATAGTAGTGTACCAGAATTATATTGTTCAAGAATGTCATCACTTTGTAAGTTGTGAGTTTGAGATCAAACCTTTGTATCATATTTTCTGAAGAAAACTAAGAATTGTGTGAGAAAAAATATTAGGAATTATTGGTTTATAGACGTTAGATTAAAGGACTATGATTTATTGTAAGTCATCATATAGTTATTCTGGATAAGGTTTACTGCACTTATATCATTACAGTAAACCCATACAGTGTTTATTTTACAGACAAAGTAATTATGAGGATCATGGATATACTGTTTTCCTCATTTTAATCTTGTATATGTCAAAAAGAGATCAATCAATATTCCTGAAATTTTTTTGTTTTTTGATGTTTGTTGTCTGAAAAATATTTGAAATATTTCAACTTCTACAAGTATTCTCATAAGGAAAGAATACCTCAATGTATTAAGACATTTGATACAACAAATTCTAAACTGAACCAAACACTTTGATGAATATTCCTGCTTAAATCCTTATTCAAAGAAACGTTTCCAGCCAAAATCTCATAAATAAAAAGAAGATATGATAATGTTTCAGAGACTGCACTGAAGTTGTCATAATCACCTTTTGAAGGAAATTGAAAAAAAAACCTCACTTCAATAAATCTGTGGTCAGTTCAAATAGGAAGGTTATCTTTCCTATGAAAACAATTATTTTCTGTCTAGTTTGAACCCTTCTGTTCTTTTAATTTGTTTTTACTAACAATCTGAACCATTTAAACTCTTTGTGAGATCTTACGTATGCCTAACAATTGATGGGATTGGCAGTATCTGCACCACGTGGTCACAATTCACATCAATGGTAAATGGTGGAGTGTTTTAATTAACCATTGCTTAAGTGATAGTATATACTTGTTACTTAGTTCATTGATATAGTAGCTTGTGCCAGATGACACAACTTGAGGCTCAAACTCTTTATCATTAGTGATCAGAGCAAGGAATGTTGGCATGTGCATTGTTAAAGATGAACATTGTTAAGACAGTCATACCAAAACTATCCCTTGTTGGTTTGTGCTCAGCCATTAGAAGCAGATATGAGCTTTCAGGCCTACATAATATTTGGTTTTGGATATTCAATATGAAGTAATGAAGTTTAAAAAAAGATATGCCATTTCTTGAAAGTTAATCAACATTTAGTTGTTATAAAACATCTGTATCTTTATGTCTTGCAGTCTTGTTTTAAACAATTCATTATGATTTTGGGCAATGCAAAGTCTGATAGGTCAATCTCAAATTTGAATAAAAATCAATTTCACAGGCATTCACTGTAAATTTTTATGGTTGAAACAATATTGACATGATTTTGTTCAGGCTGGCAGAAGATTTACCTTAGTTTTAGGAACTTCAATCAAACTATGCATGTACAGAAGACCCCATTTATTCTTATAAAATGCCTGGAGAAACTGTGTGTTGAGATTGTTGAACAGCAACATCAATTAGCTTGATATTTGCTGCTGTTCTTGCTTGTTAACAAATCAGAGTTACCTTGACGACATGTCTCAACCAACTCCCCTTTATTTCTAAAGTGTTCCTAATCATGACTGATAACATAAGATGTACTCTTTGTTTCAGTGGATGTGGAAGTGACATTTGAATATGCAGCAGAACAGGAAGATGAACTCAACATCAAAGTGGGAGACATCATCAAAAATGTCACTATGTCTGAAGGAGGCTGGTGGGAAGGTGAACTCAATGGTAAAACTGGCATGTTCCCAGACAATTTTGTCAAGGTAAGTAATAGACAGTGATCAAGCACTTTACAACATATGTACAATGCTAGACCAAACTTAGTAATAGTAAGTCATCCTTACTGTGGTGCTTATGTTAGTAATTGTACCAGACGCTTATGTTAGTAATTGTACCAGACGCTTATGTTAGTAATTGTACCAGACGCTTATGTTAGTAATTGTACCAGACGCTTATGTTAGTAATAGTACCAGGCGCTTATGTTAGTAATTGTACCAGACGCTTATGTTAGTAATAGTACCAGGCGCTTATGTTAGAAATTGTACCAGACATTTATGTTGGTAACTGTACCAGGCACTTATGTTAGTAATTGTACCAGACACTTATGTTAGTAATAGTACCAGGCGCTTATGTTAGTAATTGTACCAGACGCTTATGTTAGTAATAGTACCAGGCGCTTATGTTAGTAATTGTACCAGACGCTTATGTTAGTAATAGTACCAGGCACTTATGTTAGTAATTGTACCAGACACTTATGTTAGTAATAGTACCAGGCGCTTATGTTAGTAATTGTACCAGACGCTTATGTTGGTAATAGTACCAGACGCTTATGTTGGAAATTGTACCAGGCGCTTATGTTGGTAATTGTACCAGATGTTTTTTAATTAAATTGTTTCGGATGATTTCGTGACGTCATTCATTGTATTTTATTATTGTTATTGATTTTCTTTCCTTATGCTTGTGTTTTACAATTAATATTGTCTACAAGATTGGAACCCAGTGGTGAGGTTGAATCTTTTTTCTGAAAAAGTCAGATAGACAATTGAATATTTATTGGTCTGAAAAAAGTTGGATAGACAATTGAATATTTATTGGTCTAAAAAAGTCAGGTAATTGAATATTTATTGGTCTAAAAAAGTCAGATAGACAATTGAATATTTATTGGTCAAAAAAAAGTTGGATAGACAATTGAATATTTATTGGTCTATGATTTAAACAAAGTATACTCATGAAGAAAAAGTTAATTCAACAGCCTGATGAAATAAGTGATTATTTTCCAGGCATAACTAACTGTCATATCTAAGGACAAACCAAAAGATTTCTATTTCAAAATTCTAAAATTGGTTTTATACTAGACATTATTTATAGCTGTTATACTAGACATTATTTATAGCTGTTATACTAGACATTATTTATAGCTGTTACACTAGACATCATTTATAGCTGTTATACTAGACATTATTTATAGCTGTTATACTAGACATTATTTATAGCTGTTACACTAGACATTATTTATAGCTGTTATACTAGACATCATTTATAGCTGTTATACTAGACATTATTTATACTGTTATATTAGACATTATTTATAGCTGTTACACTAGACATTATTTATAGCTGTTATACTAGACATTATTTATAGCTGTTACACTAGACATTATTTAAAGCTGTTATACTAGACATTATTTATAGCTGTTACACTAGACATTATTTATAGCTGTTATATCTAGACATTATTTATAGCTGTTATATTAGACATTATTTAAAGCTGTTATACTAGACATCATTTATAGCTGTTATATTAGACATCATTTATAGCTGTTATATTAGACATTATTTATAGCTGTTACACTAGACATTATTTATAGCTGTTATATTAGACATTATTTATAGCTGTTATATTAGACATTATTTATAGCTGTTACACTAGACATTATTTATAGCTGTTATACTATTATTATTTATAGCTGTTACACTAGACATTATTTATAGCTGTTACTCTAGACATTATTTATAGCTGTTATATTAGACATTATTTAAAGCTGTTATACTAGACATCATTTATAGCTGTTATATTAGACATCATTTATAGCTGTTATATTAGACATTATTTATAGCTGTTACACTAGACATTATTTATAGCTGTTATACTAGACATTATTTATAGCTGTTACACTAGACATTATTTATAGCTGTTATACTCTAGACATTATTTATAGCTGTTATATTAGACATTATTTAAAGCTGTTATACTAGACATTATTTATAGCTGTTATACTAGACATTATTTATAGCTGTTATATTAGACATCATTTATAGCTGTTATATTAGACATTATTTATAGTTATACTAGACATTATTTATACTGTTATACTAGACATTATTTATAGCTGTTATACTAGACATTATTTATAGCTGTTATATTAGACATTATTTATAGCTGTTATACTAGACATCATTTATAGCTGTTATATTAGACATTATTTATAGCTGTTATATTAGACATTATTTATAGCTGTTATACTAGACATTATTTATACTGTTATATTAGACATTATTTATAGCTGTTATACTAGACATCACTTATAGCTGTTATATTAGACATTATTTATAGCTGTTATACTAGACATTATTTATAGCTGTTATACTAGACATTATTTATAGCTGTTATATTAGACATTATTTATAGCTGTGTTGAGAAACTTGACAGTAATAGTATTGATATGCTCTGTTTTATATAGGTGATAGAGAAGGCCAAACCCACCAAAATAAAGGAGGAATTACCTCACAATAAACACAGAGGGGCATCAGTCAGAGAACTCGCTAGTAAAATCAAAAGTGATTTACATGTAGGAATGACAGCACCAAAAAAGAAAGGTGAATACCAATGGACAGTCATTAATATACTGTGTTGTAATTAATTGTTTGTGATAATGGATCATTAAGTATGACTATAAAACTGATGTGGAGTGTGTCTTCTGATGTTGTATTGATGAACTCAGAGTCTCTATTACCAGCGTTATATAAATTTTATTCAGTTGTGAGAGACATTTTACATATATTTTTACATTTCAGAATTACAGCCCAACGTCAAGAGAAAAAGAGCCAAGGTAGTATATTCTTATGACCCAGAAAAGGATGACGAGCTGAAGTTGGAAGTTGGGGACATTGTAGATATTTTGAAGCAGGTGAGGAAAAGACGAGGTAGTATTTTCTATCAAGATACATATGCTGGTTTTGATCTCCCCCAAAGGTGATCAAAGAAATATATATAACAAAAACTGTTTTCTTGTCAATTTGTTGCTTTTTAAAAAGCCCTTGATTTAATGGATCTGGAGTTATCTTCTTATGGAAATAAAAGTTGTCATGAAATATATTGTTATATAGATGGTTTTGTGTATGAATGACATTGTTACATTAGTGTGTGGATCAGACTAGTAGGATTTTTCAATAAAACTGAAAATTTAACCCTTTATGAATGGTTTTTGTTTTCTTTGACAATGTACAATAGTAAACACAGTGATAAATTTTGGAGAGATTATTACACACCAATTGTTTCTGTAAGACGGCTTTATTTACTGCAATATGTATATGTATCTTTAAGTTTTGACTTCAAATGAATGAAGCATCACTACCATATTTTCCAGGCTATAAGCCAAACCCCGAGTATAAACTGCAGGGCTGGTTTTTAACGATTTTCTATTTGATCCACATATAAGATGTACAGGGCTACAAGTCACACCCCTTCTAATGATGTGGTAATCGTTTGTTGATAGAACAGACATTGGAAGGCAATCAATCAAGATCGACAATGAAACATTTCATATAAGTTTGCAAATGAATTATACACAGTCCTTTATTTAAAAACGTAAAATAGCAATTATGGATCCCAGGATGCAACAGGCTATTGTAAACTTCTGTTATGACTTCCGAAACAACAATAAAAGTTCAGAAGATATCATTAGGATTCATATTAAAAGGTAGGATTATTTAAATCCACAAAAATTTTATTTTTATTTCATACTGAAAACCGTCCTATATGCAGTTGCAAATGATGGTTCTATGCAATCTATTTCAGTGACAAACAGGTGATGAACGGATACTCGTAAGAACTTATCACTGGTGTCTCATACTGGTACCTTTGATTTTAATCACTATTTTTAATTCTTTCTGGAAACGCGACATGTTACAGCAACCAATGCTCTGGTATAAAAGCCGCATGCCCAACTGCTGAGGAAAATATCCACAGATTGTAACCCAGAAAATATGGGATGTATTATGAAGGAGCATTCTAGATTTGGGAATAAACATTCAAGTCCGATTAGATCAATGTTTTCATTTCTGTTCTAATGTTTTGTATGTTGTATACAGGAAGAAGAAGGCTGGTGGGAAGGCAATGTGAATGGAAGAACCGGCGTGTTTCCTTCTAACTTTGTTGAAGAGATTGAAGAATCAGAGCCAGAAAAAACTCCTGGTAATGACAACAGAATTGATATAAAGACAGAAATACCCTAGAGCTTTTCCAATACCCTAGAGCTTTTCCAATATCCTAGAGCTTTTCCAATACCCAAGAGCTTTTCCAATACCCAAGAGCTTTTCCAATACCCTAGAGCTTTTCCAATACCCAAGAGCTTTTCCAATACCCAAGAGCTTTTCCAATACCCTAGAGCTTTTCCAATACCTTAGAGCTTTTCCAATACCCTAGAGCTTTTCCAATCAAATGTCTATACTTAGTCTAGAAATAAAGATATTCTATAAATGAGAGGTGCTGGAGAGAAAGTATACCTATTAGTCTACCATCTGATGGTGCTGGAGAGAAAGTATACCTATTAGCTTACCATCTGATGGTGCTGGAGAGAAAGTAAACCTATTAGTCTACCATCTGATGGTGCTGGAGAGAAAGTATACCTATTAGTCTACCATCTGATGGTGCTGGAGAGAAAGTATACCTATTAGTCTACCATCTGATGGTGCTGGAGAGAAAGTATACCTATTAGTCTACCATCTGATGGTGCTGGAGAGAAAGTATACCTATTAGCTTACCATCTGATGGTGCTGGAGAGAAAGTATACCTATTAGCTTACCATCTGATGGTCATTAAAATTACTCCCAGTAATTATTTCTTGAGAAACGTAGGGTGGGTCATTTTCAAAAGCATATGAATATTCCCATGGTGTCTAGTTTTTTTTATTGTTCAGTTTTGAGAAATAAGTGAGAGAAAAAAAACACACAAATGCTTTGTATCCTACATTTGTAAATTTAAATTTCCCTAGGGTAGGTTGTCTCCCTTACAAATATCAGGCACTTTTATTGAGTATTATAATTAGACTGCACATACACCATGCATATATTCAGTCCTAATAAATACACATTTTGACATATTTATATTAGGATGATGATATATACAGAAGTTTTAATTGGACATTAATAAATTCATTGTATCAAACATAGGCCCAATGTGCCTGTGCCACCCACCTGGTTTCTAACATAAAACTCAGGAACTTGTGTTGTCCTTTCTGATAATACAAACAGTTATAACTTATTGCTTCTGTTCTTCCAATAGCTTTACCAAGTATTATGAATTTAAATATGTATCTTTCGCAAGGAAGGAGACTTCAATATTTACCTTTAATTGAAGACTTTAACACAATGTTAAATGGACATTACACACCATAAATTCATATATATTTTATTATTTAATCAGATTCTCATCATATCTTTCACTGCATTTTGATGGATGTTAATGTTGTTGGTGTTTTGTTCTTTTTAAATATCTGTCCTAATTTTATTTAGACCTGTTCTGCAGATCAGACATTCAGTGTGTTAAATTTCTTTCTTGTACAGAGGAGAAACCAGCTGAACCAACAATAGAAGGCAAGAAGAAGCTGATTGGAGGTGTAGGTTTAGGCAATATATTTGGATCAGGACCAATCAAACTCAAACCCACGAGTGTGAAGACTTCAGAAAAGGTTAGTACAAGGGTCAGTTTATCATCAGTAGTACTGGACACATACAAGTTTTATTCCCAGTTTATTTAAGTTTATAAGTATTGCTCATTAGACCTGTTACCATTGATGGGCGTCTGATATATCATAAGTGGAACATTTTAGGATCGGCAATATTGCTGCAGACAAAAAGAAAAGTTTCAATTTTTAGTAAAAACATGCACATTCCAGACAGATCAAATATTAGGGATGGATCAAAACTCATACCGGTAAAATCTGACGTTTCAGCGACATGAATCCCTTGTGTATTGAAACTATTTGGCACAGTATGTTCTTTCTAAAAATAGATTAAGAAGTATTCCCAGTGACATTGTCATTCATGTATTTGTGTCATGTTTATTAGTCTAAAGTGTATTTATAACCCGACCTTGAAAAATTAGGGTCACACAGATGTAGCAATGGGCCATACTTCCACCCAGAAGTTTTAGGTTTTATTGACAAAATCTGAGGTGACAAAGGGACCTGTCTACTGGTACCATGTCTGACTTTGTAATATTCAGGGGGACATGGTCATGTTATCACAAATTGTGTATTCTGATAAGTGATATTGTTATCACAGCAAGCATGTGTTGCATGTCAGATTCTTTCATTGGTATTGAAAAATGAATGTTGGAACATAGTTTTGTATTAAAAGTTTCATTTGGAAAAATCACAACAATATCAGCAGATTTTGACAGTATTGTGACGTGGATTTTCCAATAACAGCTTTAATACCATCTTACAGCTGTTTGTAATATAATATAAATATTCTGTGATCATTTAGCCTTAAAAGGAACGGTATACATGGAAAATTAAGTTTTGAAGTTATTTTTCAGAAAATGTTCACTAGAATTGTGAATGGCAATAATTTAAGTCGTCTTGAAAGTAAGAATGATAGTGAAGTGAATGTTGACAATTTTTTTTAAATTCATTCAAGTGGAGAGTAGGACATAAATAAGATATTGGTTATTTTTACATTTCACAAAATGTGTTGCAGTCATACATCGTTGACCCTTAAAAGAAATAATGCTAGCCCTAAAAATATGCAGTAGAGATAAATCTATGTGCAAGTCCTGACTCCTGTACCTATAGAATTTGGATGGGACTCAGAATTTCTGGAAATACTTTTAATTTTTAATATTAGGTTTTCAGCAATTAGGTTGATAAGGACTCTTGAAAATGAATTGTAGATTGATCAGTGGATATAAAGGAAGATATTGTTGTGTAAGTCTCATCAATCATATGTTAGTATTTCAGATCTTATCATATTATTTTGATCTTTGATGTAAGTTACCTCCCTTGCATTAGTTTTATCTTTTTTTATATAACCACTGTTCCTTTTGGCTAGGTTTCCCATTCACCCCCTGATCTACCAGTCAAACATACAGAAGAAGAAAGCAAACCTCATATAGTTACAAAGCGTGAAAAGCCAGGTAAGTGATGTTGTAGATTTCTGTCCATCATTGCTAGTTGTATAACTTTATAAGTGATGGTGATTTACCTCCCTGCCTACATATTGGTTACTATATTCTCACCTGCCATACAATCATCAACAAGGACATCTGGTCACCAGTTTGTTAATTAAACTTATTTCAGAAAACTGTTTCTTCTATGAAGTATGTTTGGCAATTCCTCACATGATAGTGAATGTTCTTTAAGCAGTGGGTACGTTATCATTTCTAGTCACTGATGTAGGTCAGTTGTGTGTAGCCTTTATCAGTTCCTATGTATCACTAGTGTCTTTAACACTTCTCACCTTCCAGTAGTACAATAACACACTTACTCTGGTAGATGATATTTTATTTCTTATCTGGGAGTGGACTGTGAAGACTTTTGTGTTGGGAGTATCTGAGCTACTGAGTTCTAATCATTGTTGTGAAGTTTGACATAATAAGCTATAAACAAGGAGACAGTTTGATGACACTCAATAAAAGTTGTCATTGTCAGAAACCAAAAAGAAGAATTTCATCATCAAATAAACAGACATTGGAAATATACATTGAACTCTTACAGTTATAAGAATTTTAAATTTCAATAAACAGAAAGTTCACTGATGAAAAAAGAAGTTTATTGCTTGTTATGTTGAAAGGATTTGTAGGTTCTCCCCAATGTTTCCACCTAACATTATTAAAGCTTGTGCACAAATCATTGTCTCTATTTCATGTGTAAAATTCAGCATTAAATTGAATATCACAAAAATCCTTAAAATTCACAATTTGTTTTGTGTTAGAACAACTAATTTTCAGGGCCAGCATGGCTTGATGCTTTGTGTTTAGCCAACAGGATAGAACATTGGGAGGAGCTGCATGACTGTTAGTGTTGGATGTACAGTAGTTTAGCTGTGTATGGCTTGCTTATTTGCTTTGCTCAACAGGTTTGCATGTCCGACCCCCTATTCCTACCCCCCGCCCATCCCAAGCATGTAGATTGACCCCTCAACCCTGTGAATCTCATACCTTGGACTCCGATCTCGAGGACAGTGGCTCGCAGAACCTGGCCAGAAGTAGCGAGGAAAGTTTCTGCACAGATCGGGAGGGAAGGGATGGTGTGATGGCTCAGGATAGCTGGGTCAATGTATTGTTTGGTGAGCCAGGATCAGAGGGTGAGACAACAGATAGGGACACAGATGTGCAGTACAAAAATTTACTGGACCGTGATGGAGTGTCAGGAGAGGAGACAAATGTCATCAATCCTGAGGACATGATATCAGGAAAAATGACCAGTAATCAGTCCTCATCTTACGCCATCCAAAGTGGCCTCAATAAACTCTCCATAATGCAGCTTGTGCAACCAAAGGACTTCACCGAGGAAAACCTGATAGAATATGCTGATGTAGAGGTGGATGAAGAGAACAAGGAAAATGTAATGTTGGGGAAAAAATGTGCATCAGCCATTGCCTCGCTTGAGAGTAAGGGGAGCCGTTCATCAGTCTTAGGTAGTGCAAGAGGTAGAAGCAATGCCAGCAACAACAACAGCGTTGAAAATCCAACGCATGATGACTCTATGTCACAGTCAAAATCTGTAGATAGTTTCAATATGTACACAGGAAAGCAAAACTCAGGTATTTCTTCAAGGCTGGAAAGTTGGCTGTCAGGGGAACACCAATCACCCACAGTCTCTAATACCTCTGTGACTGCAGCTGTTACTGGAAAGAGGAAAGAGTCTCTATTCAAACGTGTCATGAAACTGGACGTGTTCAGGAAACGATCTAAGTCAGTGATGCCCTACAATGAGAAAAAGACTGAAGCAAGTCAAACACAGAACTGCTACAGGCAGGTGCCTTCTCTTACAGAGCTCTGCAGGAACAAGTTGGACCCAGGTTCCACAGAAACTACTCGTACACCGCTCAAGGAAATCACAGCTGCACATATGAATGAAAAACAGGATCCCAATCAGTCAACTTCATTTGAGGTGTCTGTTGATTCCCTCGATGTTGCAGTCGGGAGTTTGGAAACGGCATGTGAGAAGACTTCCTCCATGCCAGAGATATATGATGAAGGAGATGAATCACTCCTGACCATTATTATGAGCCAGAATGACATCAATAATGATGACGTCTGTGATAGGAAAGAGGATGGTGCAGGTGCACAAGGTTTCGAAAAGCAAAATTTTAAAAAATGTTCCACAAAAGAGGACAATGTCGGTAAGTCTAATGAGCTACCAGATAGGATAGTGAAAGACTCGTACCTCGGGTCTCTCAATAGGACAGGTCAATTGTCTCCCTTTATACGGATGATTGCCAACCGTTATCACTTGTTTGATCCAGAATCTCAGAAATGGAAGGAGGGATACATGGATGAACCTGAGATCATGGAACCGTCAGACAGCATTTCCCCAGAAAGCAGAACTCCAAACAGCCTCACCCAAGAAAGAACTTCAGATAAACAGGAGAGTGGCTGTCCTAATGCTGAGATGGGCTTTGTCTCAGATACAACACATGTAAAGGATGATGACCATCTCAGCACCTCGCCTGCATCCCAAAGCTATAATGTACTGCCCCCTGGCTCTGTGAAAGAGAAGGTCTTCCACTATGAACACATGTATGTGAATGAACTGGTAGATCAGGTGATTGCAAAAACGATGCATGGTCTGTGTCTGGAGCAGTGTCTGGAGGAGCTTGGAGGAATGGGACACCACCCCGAGCTACGCCGCCGATTAATGGAGGAGTTTAAACATTACACAGCAGACAGTATTCCAGACGCTCAGAGGTCTGAGGGGGAGATATCGCCTCAAGGATCTGAGTTTTTGAGAGAGGGGTCTGACGGGGAGATTATAACACCCATGGTATCTGATGGTGACACAGAAAGTGAGGACGGTTGTGTCCAGTCAAGTAGGATGTGTGGTATTGAGGATTCTCTATATTCTGCTATCACTGATATTGTCGCAGACACTGATTATGCTACAGCAATGTCTGACATGGATACAGATGGATCCTATGTAGTATCCTTTCTCTCCAATGCAGACATTGATGTCAGGATCCCTGAACCAGAGGTTGAAGGGCAATCATCCACAGGATTCAATGCTTCTGGGGAGTATGTAGACTTACCAGGACAACTGTCACATTATAGCTGCAGTAATGGCCTCTCGCACGCTACAGTCAAGTCTTGTGATAATCCAATACTACTGCAGCAAAGAAATATGGACGGTCCATGGATCTCTCCAGTTCACGCACGACTCAGAATGGGTACAAGTACATGTCCAAAAAAGGGTATGTTTCCTGTACCCGATGATGCTCAGATCTGTGGTCAATATACGCCTCGCTGTAGCATTGGTACTCAGACCCCAGACATGGTCAGTGTTGCAACCTCTGCTGACAACACACCAACAAACATGTCAACATTTGGATTTGGAAGTGGCGGAAATACAGAAGACCGAGCATCCTCACCCATCAAAGAGCTGTTGAGTTACGATACAACCCTAGAGGACAGCTTGAATACCTCTGACCTTGGAACACCTGCCAAGGTCAAGGTTAAACCACGTTACTCAAGCTCTCCTATTAAGTCATATAGGGTAGAAGACAATCAGTCAGGAAAGTTCGAAGATACAAGCTACAAGCATGACAAGGGTCATTGTTCTAATTCCAGGTTGACAAGGAACAATGGTCTTCTCCAACAAGGTAAAAGTAGTCACTCCCTTTCCTCCAGACCATCGTCTCTGGATGTGAATACAGATGAAACTTTTGACGTGAGAGACTGTACAGAGACGAGACGGAAGCGCTTCTCTTGGAAAAAACTATTTCGATCTAAAGCTAAGGAACCTGTTGTCCTTATTTCCTACAGGAGACGTTCAGATAAGGAAATGGAAGAAGATCTGACCAGAGGCTCTCCGATACCCAGGGACATAGGAAGGGCTGGTGAATCAGAGAGAACCAAACCCCTGAACTCTAGTAATCATGCCCTGTGTGAAAGCCCAGGAATTCAAGACCATCCATTGATAATGTATAGAATTCAACCCTTCTCTGAGGACCTTAACACTGTGGAAACTTTCTTTTCTCATGAAGAAGGAGTATCTCAGAGGCTTGGTCAGTGTAGAAATCAAGAACAAAATCGACATGATGTATTGAATCTTGAGTCAGGTAACCTTAAGCAAGACACAATGCATCTAAGCCAGGATGCAGGTGAGGAAAGTGAAGAGGAATCCGATGGAGAGCAATACAGTTTGTGTGACATGGAGATTGATGAAAAGGAGGAACAGGAAAGAATCGATCGGATTAGAGACACCACAGGGCATTGTGGGCAATGTGACTTTTGTGACCTTCACATCCATGGGCAGAGAATGCCATCACACAGTACTGTAGACAGCAGGGACCCTACTCAGGAGGCTGGCAGAACGAGTCAGGATGGGGTAGATGAGAAGTCTGTATTTTACGAAGACAGTGAGAGTGAAGGGGTGTCCTTAGATTCCCCTAACATTAGTCCAAGTCTTGCCATTGCTATTAGAAACAACATGGTCACTACACCAGACTCGCCCGAGGTTAACCTTGACTCATTCCTGCAGGAGGCTTTACGTCCCATTGATGACCTATTGGACGAGTCTGTTGAAGGAGTCGACCTTGAGGAGGAGGAGGTAACTCCACGATTGGATAGCTGTAAATTAAACAGCTGTATTTCAGAGTCACCAGAGAAATACCCAGGGTTTACATATATCTCACCATCTATGGAAAACATCCTAGCTATGGATGAAGATGACTCACAATATGGACAAGGCGATGTGCCTTCAGCCAGATATGACTGCCAAACCGACACCAGCAATTTATCCTTGGAGTATGTTTTAAGTCTAGAGAGGAAGTTTCAGGAGGAAATGTTCAGTCCAGAGGTAATAAACACATCACAAAATACTCCAGTAAACACACCACAGCACACTCCTCGAGGTGATCAAATGGAAAGATATTCAAGTTTTACCTACATAGGAGAGTCTCTGGGAGGGGATGCTG